TCAGGCTTTGCCGATGTATGGCTTTGCATTTAATTCTCTAAAATACTCAACAACCTAAATCATCCCTCCACCATTGTGTTTAACAGCTAATATCCTGAGTTTTTTTTATTTTACCCTCCAGAACTTCAAGGCTGCACAAAGGTCTGTTTAGTTTTTAATATGACTCTACAGTTAATGCAAATGACTAGATTATAAGAAATCGAAATTTCTGACATGAATAAGACTAAAAGTTGTGTCTGTTGTAATTTTGTGTGTCCTCTTTACATATAGAATGAAACCATATTTTCAACTTTTATAATTAGAGCTGATCAGACTATTTTAACTTTTAATATAGTATATAGTTACGATATAATTACGTTCAGGTCCTGACTCAAGCTGTATTTACTCTTTGTTTTGTATTAATGTTTCAGGGGAAAATGAATCAAAACAGCATTATGTCTTGGCTTATATTTCCTTCAGAACTTTCCCCCCCCCCCAACCATCAGGGTTTTTGAGCTTGCTGTTTCTTAATGTGTCTTGAACATCCTAAGTACATGGTTAAACTGCTGACAGGAAACAGACAGTGGTGTATGGTATGTGCTCAAAGGTGTGAAATAAAACGGATGTTGTGGTTTAACAGACTATATGTAATACTGTTGACTGAGAGACTAAAAATCCAGGCAAGAGTATGAGAAAATGGTTTGCTGATGTTCTGAGTTTGGTTTTGTTCCTATCAGTTTCACAAATACCCCACGTAGTTAAACAACTTGCCTCTTTGTAAGCTTGTAAAAAACTGTGTTACTTTTGAGTTTGATTTGCATTGCATGGCAGTGTTTTCAGAAGTCCTCTTGCAGTCATATTTCAGAATTGGAAAGTTGGAGGTCTCTGCTGACAACTCTCATAAAAGGAGTGGAAAAAAAGCTGCCGAAGTTACACACATACAACTATGCAACAATAAATAATAAACTATTTAAAACAATTTTTTATTTTAGTGACCCTATCCAAAGGTGAGGCTTACTTAGCTTCATTCCACATAGTACACCGGGTAAAATAAGTGTAGAACCCGGCATAATTTTTCTAGTCAATATATTCCTAGAGGTGCTATTGATATGAATTTTTCACCAAATGTTGGTAACAATCCATGTATCACATACAAATAAATCAGAAAATAGATGTCCAGAATTTAATTTATTTGTAATAAAGTAAAATGACATTGAGAAAAAGCATTGAACAAACTTACTGAAATGTATTTAATACTTTGTACAAAAGCCTTTGTTAGCACTGACAGGTTGAAAACACCTCCTGTATGGGAAATTAGTTGCATGCATTGCTCAGGTGTGGATTTGGCCCATTCTTCCTCAACATCCTCATGCCCTACAGACATCATGGAAAGGAAGGGCTAAAGTTCTACGTGGATTCATCATACTTTTTTGACCATTTCTGACCACCCTCCTTTCATCTTCATCATCCTGGTAGATGGCAGCAGATTCTTATGACGAATTTCTCAGTACATTTTTCCATTAATCCTTTCTCCAGAAAACAGCCCCACACCATGATGTTCCCACCTCCAAACTTCACTGTCTGTGTGGTGTTTTCGGTGTGATGTGCAGTGCTATTTGACCTCCAAATGCGATCTGTATCATGACATCCGAAGAGTTAAATTTTGTCTCATCTGACCAGAATATATTCTTGCAGTATTTTACAGGCTTGTCTGGTTGTTTTGCAGCAAACTTTAATTGAACTTCCACATGCTATTTTTTCAGCAATGGAGTCTTGCGTGGTGGGCATGCATAAAGGCCATGATGGCTGAGTGCATTACTTATTGTCTTCTTTGAAATAATTGCACATGCAAATTCCAGGTTTTTCTGAAGCTATCCACATATGGTCTTTGGCACTTGGACAAATATTCTGATATTTCTTTGCACTTCTCTGACCCAAATCTTGTGAGGAGCAGGTAGTCGTTTTCGTTTTATGGTGTTTTATGTTCTTTCAAATTCTGAATTAGGACGCCAACAGTGCTCAGTGTAACATTCAGAAATTTAGAAATCCTTCTATAACCAATGCCATCATTATCTTGAGAAAGCTCTTTATTTTTACCCATCATGAGATGTTTTTTATATGATACCAGAGACACCTTTGTATAGGCCATCCTTTGGGACTGAACTAGCTGATATTAATTTGCACTGACTGATTTCTTTCTAATCACTGAGAGATTTCGGCTGGTGTCTTGGCTTTTTAATGCCTTTTTCCACCTCCGTTTCTTAACACGTTCAATACTTTTTCTCTGTGCCATTTCACTTTGTTACACATTACTTAATTCTGGACATCTATGGATTTTTGTCTTTGTATGTGTGGATTGCCTTGGTTGTATCAACATTTGGTGAAAATGTCATATCAATGGCACCTTTAGAAATACATTTACTGTGAAAAATGTGGGTGTGTTCAATACTTATTTTACTGGCTGTATATTTCAATCAAAGATGCTCCAATCTGGTATTTAACACCATAGCTGCAACATTGTTATATCAAAACGTAGTTTTCAAAAAATAATATAGCTCATATATACTAGGTAATATATACTAGGTAATAAATATTGACAAAACATATAAACATTTACTTCTGGTTAAAATGGTAGCATGACACTGTAGGATTTTCCACCAATAGGAGAGGGCTGAAGTTATGTGGGACAAAGCTTCAGGAGTTGCCAGATCCTAGAAACTCAATGAGAGCACTGAGAACTGGCTTTTTCTCTGATCCATCAGGAAATACGTATTTAGACCATTTCTATAATAAATTTCAGTTAGGATAATCGTTTCAACAGTAGGAAAATGGACCCTTTTATGAGCATCTGTCTGTGATTTGATAAATACAGTCAATATAAACCCTTACAGTTGTAAAGGCAACACTGTCTTGACTACAGTCAGACAGATTAATACAGAGACTAATCATGTGGAGCAATACTAGACTCTAATCTCTCTGGGCAACTTAAGTCACTGGGATACTTCAACAGGGGTGCACATCTCCTGTCATGGGAACCCCCCTGTTCGAATAGTGGACTCTGCACCCACAAGTGGTGGAGTAAATTTGGCAGACGTATGGCTGGATCAACACAGATTGTTTTGCCTTGCGAGAAAACTGTCTTAAAATGGGATAGATGGACCCAGTATTCAAGGTGAGACAGTCAGTAGGAAAGTTCAAAACGTTTATTTAAATAAAAGGAATCCAACAGAGCATTCAGGCAGGTTCAGAGTCCAAAGTCAGACGTGTCCAGAAGCGTGCCCCCACGGAGAAGCACAGATGCAAACAGGCAGGCTCAGATGCAGATGAGCAGGCTCAGTGTTTGAGGGAACAGAGACAAGACGTTGTATCAGGATTTCAGCAGGACTTGATACTGGTATCCTCCTTGGAGCCAGGCTTATGGGAATAAAACTGACCTTCTTCCGAACCAAAACCCTGAGGGCTCCACGGAGAAGGACCAGGACACCATCAGAAGACAAGACGGACACAAAAACCCTCTCAATCCACTGGCCGCCAGGAAGCAGGACACGAACCTTAGAACTAAACCAAAAATGACCAAACAGAGCACAAGACCCAAAACAATGATCTGTCCCCAATGGCTTGGGCTAAACCGAATATAAAGCAACAGACGCAGGTGGATGAGATGAGTGATAATTAGAAAACTGAGCAGAGTTAGGCAGGTGAGAGAAATGAACAATTAAGGTGAGCTAACACGGCCCGATGATTACAAAATCACGCAATGTCCGAGATTGTGCTCCCTGAAAGACAAAGACGCATCTCTCAGCTGCACGTACATCAATGACCAGATGCTCTACTGTATGTATTTCCAGCCTGATTTCACCCACCCTGCCTTGAGTGAGGGAACATGGTCTCTCAGTTATCCTGATAGCTCTGTGTTTGTAATCCAAGCTTTGGCCACAGGACATAATACAGCATTTGTGTGTTGGAGTCATGTTCGCTTCCTGCTAGGAAGACTCTCTCTCTGGGGTTAGTTGACAAGTTCTTGACAAGTTTTCTTAACTATGAAGGTGTATCTCGCAACCATTTCTGCCTCCCTTGTTTTGGAGACAACTTAGTAAGGCAATACCCACTAGTGAGTCTTTTCATGAAGGGGGCATGCCGTCAGCTGCTTGTTGCCAGATCCCTGGTTCCACTTTGGAATTTATCAGTTGTGATGGAGGTGCTTTGTCATTACATATTTGAGCACCTGGAAGCCCCCTATTTGAAGTTAGTCTCATTAAAGATGGCTTTGTTTCTTGCCCTGACCATGGCAAAATACATCAGTAAGCTTCAGGCTTTGTCTGTAAGCTCTTCATGCTTACAGTTTGCTCCTGGGCTTTCTGAAGCCTGCCTGTGCCCGAACATGGCGTATGTGGCGAAGGTGGTGGATTCTGCCCATAGTTGCCCTACACTTGAGCTTATGGCTTTCCATCCTCCACCTCTTTTCTCTGAAGAGGTCAAGTGTTCTGCCCACATAAGGTGCTAGGTCGGCTGGGCCAAGCTATTTGTGTCATGGGCGATCACATAAACTGGAAAGCCTGTGTCTCGTCAGAGGCTGTCTCACTGAATTGCAGAAGCCATCTCTCTTACAGCTGCATAGGTTTTCATCCTCCCCAAGGGTTGAGGGCATATTGTACTGGAGGAGGGTTTACCTCTTAGGCCCTCTTCACGGCTATTTTTTATGTGGGGTATTTGCACTGCAGCCCGCTGGGCTTCACCCCACAGGTTTGTGTAGTTTTACAAACTGGATGCTTCTGGACCATCTTTGGCACAGGTGCTCTTGGAGTCAGGAGATGCTGTCTCTTTCTGAGGTTACTGTTTGGCACCACAGAGACCCTCTGCTTCGAGAGTCTTGTTTGCATTTAGTCAGTGGGCTATATCTCTCATAGTTATTTGATACCTGATAAGAAGTGTCACCTCTGAGGGAAACTAAGTGCAGTATTATGATATTGGAAAATAACAAACAGGAAAATGTAATTGTCTTTTTTTGTTTTTTTTCTCAGGTTGTTGATCGGTTCCCCCAGAGCCAGAGCTTTAAAAAACCAAAAGTCCAATATTACTGGAGGCCTTTTCAAATGTGATGTCAGCAAGTCCAAAAACTGTGAACGTGTCGAATTCGATAACGATGGTGAGTCATTCCACTTGCCTGCTAACCTAGCATCCTATCTACCAATATAAATAATGCCATTTGTAAATATTTTCTCAATTCAAAGAGGACCCAGCACAAGAGATTAAAGAAGACCAATGGATGGGTGTGTCTGTGCAGAGTCAGGGACCTGGGGGAAAGGTTGTGGTACGTCACAATAGATGTTTTTACTACCAATGTTCTTTGTGTCTTTTTTCTCTGTATAGTTAAAAACTGGATTATGCTTTTTCAGACATGTGCTCACCGATATCAAAAGCGTCTCGCAGGATCCCATTCTGTCCTAGGGCGATGTTACTTTTTTAGTCAGGATTTGACCATTAACGAGTCCGCTGATATGGACGGTGGTGACTGGAAAATCTGTGAGGGCAGGGGACGACCTGACCATACATCCCTTGGAGTCTGTCAGCAGGGTGTGGAAACCACCTTCACCAATGACTACCATTATGTGGTGTTTGGAGCCCCAGGAGCTTACAACTGGAAAGGTCACAATTATTATATATATTATATGGCAGCATTTATCTTATCAAATGAACTCCAGCTCTTTGCAAACAGTGTTGTTGGATCAAAAGCCTCTGCCTTGGTCTCTGAAATTCTCTTCAGGGATCGTGCAAGTGGCGCAACAAAACATGACTCTGATTGAGAGGGGGATATATAATGATGGCCCATATGAGACTAAGGAAAATATAAATATATCAGCCAACAGCTACCTTGGTGAGTTATCCAATAACAAACCATGCTGTATATGTCTGTGTTTGTGTATCGATTGGCCTGCTTTGTAATGTTAGTTTCCAACTTTCAGCGGGTAAAAATGTCTTAGCAGAATTGTATAAAAATATATTATAACAAACCTTTTAGCCCATTGTTTAGAATGACATGCATCCTATAGGAAAAATATAATAAATTAGAAGTAATACCAGGCAACACGTGTATATGATCCCATAAAGGTTTTACTAAGATGCACACATTTGACTTTGTTGGCAGGTATGTAAGGAGGGAAGCTTTGCTCTATAAGAAAATCAGACATTATCATGGTTTACTCTGAGCCTCTTAGTACCAAGTGAGCATCATAAAACAACACAGCCGATCAGAGCATTGCTACTGTGCATAACCTACCTATGGCTTTAGGATCTCACTGTACTTCAGCTAACCACTGCCAGCAGGATAATGCACCGTGTTAGAAAGATCAGATCATTTGAAGCTGAATTCATAAACATGAAAATAATGTCACTTTACTTCAATTACCTCCTCAATCACCAGATCTGAATCCCCAAGATCTTTAAGAGGTCGACAATACCGTGAATGTGTAACTGAGCTAACTTTTTGTTATCTATGAGGATTATAGAAATGGTAACCTGCAAAAAAAGAAGGGAGGAACGACTCAGTATCACAATAGCAAACTAGTTTACATAGTCAAAACATGTACATTACCTACTAATATTTGTTTGTTTATTTTAAAACCCTTTGCGGCACCGTTTTGTAGCTATTAAATCTGGAACCTGAGGTAAAATATTCTTGTCATATGGCAGTACAGTTGATTTTGCAAGTCCTCTAAGTATGACTGAATAGTTAGGTGCATATTCAATATCATAAAAAACTGCAAAATAATGAAAACCCCACATATTTTCCAATTCACAGTCACTTGATTTATGGTCACATTACATGTACCGAAAGTAGGACACTGACATTCTCACTCCAGGCCTTTAAGTGATGGTAATACGCTTATCATGGGTTTGCCGCCACACAGAAGGTAAGACAGAGTTGCAGCGATTGGGCAGATCCATGCATGTAAGGTACAAGTCACGCCTTTAACTCAACAGCAAAGTCTCAATACAATGAACTCTTCACAGGAGAGATTTCAAGAAGATCAAAACAATAAAACGATAGAGCCAAACATAAATAAACTTGTGGTTGGTGTTAAGGAAATTTGCAATTAAACCTTAAAAGCAGGTCAAAGAAAATTGCAATTAACATAGAAGGCAAATCCGCCCAGTCCTACCTTGAAGGTTTTAAGACTTTGAGACGAATAATAGTGACTAAAACAGCCCACACATGGATGCTGAGAACAAGTAAACTCCACGTAGGAACAGCCCGATTAGAGTTTGAACCAAGGACCTTTATGTTGTTAAAGACAGAAGCTCCATTGAGCCTGGTTTGAATTCAAAGATCATTTTGCTGCAAGTAAAACAAGTTAAGCTCCTAACCAGAAAGCCTTTTTGCCTATAACATTCATTTTGACAGATTAATGTGAACATTCGACAAATGTTATTGAAAAAAATTGAATGTTTTTCGTTTGTGATTAACAATTTCTGCTAAACAGGCAACTTGTCTATTCGGTGACATGTACGCTTTCGAATGGTGTAATCTTTAAGTTGCTGCAGTGGAAAACAAAAAAGAGGAAGAGGTAAAAGACAAAAGCAGATGTTATTGTGTCAGTGAGAGATTTGAGACCTGTCCCCTATTTCACAAAAGCTGAGTTCATTCTAATTTAAATAAGAGATAAAGCCAGACATGACTTGACATGAGGAGTGCATTCTGGATTCATCCATTCCACAAAGGAAAAGCCAGACTCCACTGGTGCAGCTATCTTAAGCCAGACATAACTAATCAAGATAGATGCAGGTCTGCAGTTTTCTTCATAAGACAATTAGGTAGATCACAGATTAATCGCTAAAATAAACATTTCCTAACCTCACAATTGATGGAGTTACTTGTTATCCTTTATAAATGAAAAAGTTTTAATCTGAAATAACTAGTGGAAACGTATAAGGTAACATTTGCAGATATCATAGTTTTTAGGTTTGTAAACAGTGCCTCTATGGTACAGTAGTACCATAGAAAATCACATGAAACGGTAACAATGTCCACTTAGAATACTATGAAAGTATAGGTTGCCAGACACACTGTTGTTGTTTAATGATCTTCTGAAGAGGATGCTCACTTCTTCTAACATCCTCAGTATAAATAGTTTTCATTTATTATACTTTATTGACCTCAAGGGTTCTCTCTGGACACGGGTCACCACATCATGAAGAACCGCACCCTGACTGTGGTGGCTGGAGCACCGAGAGCGTTGCACAAAGGAATAGTAGCCCTGATGAAGAAGGACGCTTCACAACTTGTGGTTGAGCAGGTTCTGTATGGTCCTGGACTGGGGTCGTCATTTGGATATGATGTGGCTGTGGTCGACCTGAATGGTGACGGGTAGGAGACATTAATCCAATGAGATATTATCATTTAAGAGATAAAACAATATACTGTTATCCCTCTAGATTATCTTATCTTTTTATCTTGTAAAAGCTGATGTTTTTCACAACTACAGTAGCCTTCAACAAATTTTACATCTTTAGTTTGATGCTTGGGATCCCCTACAATGTATTTTTTGTTAATTTAAGTAGAATACAGAGGCTATCAAAAGGGTTCAAACACTGGCTAAAAAAAATCTGTATAATAGAGATAAACATATTTATTGGAGGATAGTGAAAGGTAACATGTGTTGTTCATGATTTAGATGGCAGGACATTGTCGTGGGAGCCCCTCACTTCTACATGAAGAGCAAAGACATTGGTGGAGCTGTTTATGTTTATATAAACAGAGCAGGACACTGGGACAGTGTCACTCCAACCCGCCTAGATGGAACCAAGGATTCAATGTTCGGGCTGGCAGTGGAAAACATTGGAGACATAAATAAGGACTCATTTAATGGTAATATATCTGCCTTGGTAACATTTTTCAGACATTTCCTACCTGCTCTGGTAACCAATTTTTGAAGTTATTCACCACATAGCCTGTAATATAGGAACGGTGGCGCGTCCAGAAATTTTACTCTGTAGGTACAAAACGGGGAGCATTGAACTTAGTGTGCTGTGTTAGGATTCATTGTTCCTACTTTTTTTTTTTGTGTACAATGATGCAAACAAAAACAGAGATGTGTTCACTACTTATACCCACTTGGACGCCATTTTTGAAACCCCTTGTTTACAGAAAGAAAAACACAATGGTCACATAAATATTTTGGATCTGACCAAAGTAATGATACATAAAAATTCTAAAAAACATAACAAATAAAAGTCAGACCTTGCTTGTCAGCCACATTTCAACAAAATTACTTTAAAAGCTCATCAAATAGACCTGGACAACATGACGGAACCCTTAGATTACTATTTTGTTGTACATCTTCTGAGGCAATCCCTGCAATCAAATGATTCCTGTATCTGTCAATGAGACTTCTGCTGCTCTGAGCAGGTATTCTGGTTTACTTCTCATAAGAAAACTGCTCCACTTTTCTCAGGTTTCAAGGGAGCCTTTTAGAGACTGCATGTTTTTGCTCCTTCCAAAGATACTCAACAGGATTTGGTTAGTGCTTATAGAAGGCCACTGCACAATAGTCCAATGTTTTCCTGTTAGCCATTCTTTGGTGTTTTGAGCTGTATGTTTTGGGTCGTTATCCTGTTGCATGATCTCATGACCTGTGACAAAGACAAAGCTATCTGACTCTGGGTAGTGCATTTATCTCTAGAATCCCTTGATAGTCTTGATATTGCATCAGTTGAACATAAAAGGACAAAGCTGACACATGTTTATGATGGAAAGCTCTCTGCAATGGTTGCATCAAATGATTGTTTGCCCCACATTATATTTTCAAGTTAGTCAAAGTTGAGAAAGTCCCCTGTGATTGTGATAGAAAAGCAAAATAAATCCTAACTTGTCATGCTGTTTGTTAAGAATTATTTCCAGAACTCTACATTAACTCATGTTCAAAAGAAAATACACACTAGTTAAAGCAGCACTAAGTAACATTTTAAACTTAATATATCCTTAAATTAAATAGGCTAATATAAAGTCCTATGATTGTAATCTAAGAGTTTATGAGAGGATTGTGGGGTCTGTCATCTCCACCTACTTTGTCTGGCTGGAAAACCACACTTGGAGCTTTCAGTGCCACTGACTCTGTGGCAATCTCACTGCTCTATTCTTGCAGAACAGCTTTACTGCAGCCAAATGTAAGGCCACCCCTTGCTATTACTCTCAGGTAATTGTAAAACACTGATGAATTATGAAGGTTTACATGCATGTTTGTCTGTGCATACATACACTTATGCATGTATGGGTTCTAATTTAACTAGTTTAAATAAAGTACTTTTATAATGATATAAGGACAGGACTGGATAAGCTATTGCTTCTTCCTGCTCCCATAGGTAGTTTATGAAAGATCTTGAGATTTGTTTACAAAATATTTGTTGTATGATTTATGCTGATATAAATTAAGTTTATTTCTTTATCTGCTGAATATGTAAACATATGTGTATGGGTTGTCTTTTATATTATTTTTTTCCTGTTTGAAATAAAGAATATTTACAGCCAACAAAAACACAAAAAAGAAGAGAAGATAAATTGTGAATCAGATTGGACTGGAACAGGGCTTGTGTAAAAGTGTGTTTCGCAAAACTGATGCAGACCTGGCAATATTGTTATTGGCAGACCCCCTCCTTCCCATGGCTGCATCTAGAAAGTTGGTATATAAAAGTTATATTCTGGACCAGTGACAAAGGGGCAGCCCTGCCGGAATCCAACATGCGCTGGGAACAGGTGCAGTTTAATGCCAGTAAAGCAGACCAAACTCCTGCTCTGTTGTACACAGACCCGAGGTTCCCTAGGAAAATGCAGCAGACTCTGTATTCCCAGACTTCCCCTCAGTCCCACCATGAGGGACACAGTCGAATGCCTTCTTGAGGTCCACAAAGCATATGTGGACTGGTTGAGTAAGCTCCTATTAACACTCAAGCAACCTGTAGAGGGTGCAGAGCTGGCCCAATGTTCAATGGCTGGAACAAAACACACACTGCCGACATTCAACAATCAGATTCTCCTCTCCCGAACCCTGGTATAGACCTTCCCTGGGACGCCTGAAAGTGTGTTCTACCTAAAGTTGGAATCCCACTTTGCCATTCCAAGGGTACTGTCCCCAGTTATTATGAGCTGTTGAGTCAACCACAAAAGCCCAAGTACATCCAGAGATCTGAGCTACTCAGATCAGATCTCATCCACCCCTAAAGCCTTTTCGACCGACTCAGTGATCTAAGCCTGGGTGATAAGCAAGTCCAACTCCAGATACCAGCTCTATGCTTCCTCCAGGGAAGGGGTGATACCTGGGCTAATATATAGTCAAAATATTCCTTTCACCTTCCAATAATATCCTCATTCAAGGTCAGAAACTTCCTACTCCCACAGTGTATTAGTGAACCACAGCACTCCCCCAGATGCAGTGCCCACGTTGTCAGACTGGCTCTGAGGCTGACCAATGTTCTCTCTCCATGGCCTCACTGAAGTCTGAAAAAGTTTTTTCATTGCAGCCTAACAGGCAGCAGCACGCTTTGCCACACAGTGCCCGATTGCTGCCTCAGGAGCTCCCAAAGCAAACTAGGTTAGATAGGATTGCTTCTTCAGATTGGCAGCATCTCTTACTTTTCCACTCAGAGAAAAGAATCCAGAGAATACCTTTCAGATTTTTGCATCTAAAAATAATTTATAAACCATTGTTTTGAAGTTGAGAAATGTAAAACTATTTGCTGCATTGTGTTGGTCTATCAGTTCACATCCCAGTAAAGCACACAAAGGTTTCTGCCTGTCATAAAACAAAATGTCAATGCTCCGTACAAAGATAGAAGTGGGATAAGAAAAATGGCAGCATGTTGTTGAGAAATTGGGGCAAGAATCAACAAAAGGATGCATAAACCCAGAGCCTTCACAGCTAGAGTTTATACCTTTATTTTTAAAACTGCACAGATTTTGCAGCGGGAGCTCCACAGGATGATGAGGGGGCAGGAAAAGTCTACGTTTATCATGGATCTGCACAAGGAATTAAAACGAGCGCTGCACAGGTTGGTTATGGCCTTTTGTTTTGTTCGTTGTTTTATATTTGCTCATTGAGTTGGTTCTAGTGATTAAACACAATTAGTTTCAGCTCAAGAGGTTTGAATTAAAACTTTTCGCTTGTTTGTTTTTAACCTACATACAATTTTTGATGTCCAAATCAAGTGAAAATCTGAAGGAATTCTTTAGCTTTAGAATATTATATGTTTGGGTTTTATTTACATCTTATTCTCTGTTGCTGTATTGAGCATAAAAGACTCCACATGCAGATGTATGGCCAGTTTAAATTTGAGTGGAAGTAACTACTCCCTCTTTGCTTTACTACTGCATTTGATTATTCAGTGACCTGCAACAACTGGTATCTATGCTGGCAGGATCTCCATCCTGGTTGAAAGTCTCCATATTATATATTAAACCTTCTAATCTTTGTCCTGACAGATTCTCTCAGGTAAAGAGCACCGCATACAATTCTTTGGATTTTCCCTGGCAGGAAACATGGACCTGGATGGTAACTTATATCCAGACCTGGCTGTAGGATCTCTGTCAGATTCAGCTTTAATTTACAGGTATTCATGACTAGCATGTAAAGGCAAGAAAAAATGTACCTTTGTGTTTCATTAATGGATTTAACATCCTTCTTCAGAGCAAGGCCGGTTGTGAAAATTATGAAAAATGTTACAGTATCTCCAGAGGAAATTGACCCGCGTTTTGTTTGTAAAAACAATGTCTGGTAGGTCATCATGTGGTCTTATACTCAATCAGACTCTGCAGAGATGATGATCTGTTTGTTAATGTCTTTTTTTTTTTTTTATCAATAGCTTCACTGTGAGTGTATGCTTCAGCTACAAAACTCCTACATCCTACAACCAACGGCTCAGTGCGTATGAACAAAAAAAACATATGAAAAACATTTGGTACGCAGATGTTTTTGAGTTCTCAATAAAATGTGATTTTCTTCTATTTTACAGGTATCCGTTATTCTATAGATTTAGATGTAGATCGCAGGAAACAAGGACTGAACTCCAGAGCGATATTTTTGAAAAAGTCTCATAGTGAATCAGACATCCAGTTCACTGACACGTTAGAGCTCAGGGGTCGAGGGAAAAAAAGCTGTACCATCTTAAATGTCACGCTAAAGGTAATCAGGTTTTCCCACTCATTTGAATTAGCTTGAACCCTTCATATATATAATCATTTAAAGTATACTGTTCTAAAAGAAAGATTCTTTTTGTGTTTTATCCTTGCTGCTGATTAATGAGTTTAAACAGTGAAATTTACTTGGTAAAGTTGAGTCAGCTCGGAAACCCATTAAGTTGAACCCTTTTTTCTGTCTGATTTGCACAGGACAATATTAAAGACAAGATGCGCGACATTGTCATCGAAGCTTCTGCAGAACTTGATCAAGTAGAACAAAGTAAATTACAAAATGACCTTCCTGACTTAAAGCCAATTATAGACGCCACCCAGCCAAGCACAGCTGTTGCAAAGGTACAGAATACATTTCAGTTTTTTAAAAATGTTTCATAAAATAATAACGTTAATCATGTTACCACATCAAACTTTAAATGAGTTTATCAGGATTTTATATGATAGATCAGCACTGAACTTCTAGCAAATGAAGTCTACCAGTGTTTAATCTAATTTCTGCATTGATCTATGTGTAGCATGAGGTGTTTAGTTGATATATATGATATAGAGCCAAAAAAATCAGAAAAAAATAGGATTAAAGACAGTTTTAGGTTTTAAACATCCCAATAAGCACTGTTTGCCCATGCGCAACAAAAACATAGATATTTGTGTGGTAAAGAGAAAACATTTCACCTGCTTAACAGTAAACTAAATGTCGTGCTTTATTTAAACAAAGCAGTGGGATTTATTTTTTATTGGGCCCCACAGTGACACTGAAGGAGCTGCAGAGATGCACAGTTTCTGTGGGAGAGTTGCAGAGAAAAAAAAAGAAAGAGCAGTGATAAATCTGGTTTGCAGTTTGTAACAAAGTGAGAAACATGTGGAGTTAGGTACTCTGAGAACAAAGTTGAAGTTTTGGTCCCACATGCAAAACTCTATTTAGAAAACCTGTTAATGGTAATATCCTGCTGTGGGGATGCTTTTCTAGAAAACAAACAGGTCAGCTGGTCAGAACTGATGGGAATATGGATGGAGCTGCACACAGACCAGTCATGGAGGAGAACTTGTTAGAAGCAGCAGGAGACGTACTGTAAGACTTGGGCAGCAATTAAATAACCCTAAACACACAGTCGGAGCGTCATTTTAATTGGTTAGGGAATAAAATGAAAAAACCAGGACAAGACTTAAAAAACTGTTCACAGGTTTTATCTATGCAGTGCTTCCTGCAACTTCTCACCGATTTATTTTCATTAAAAGATGGTTATATAAAATATTTTTAATGCGGCTTGAATACAAATTTACTTTGCACTTTTTAGATTTTTTAATTTAGATTGGTAAAATATAAAAAAAAAACTATGCATTGTTGTTGTTCGAGTTCTTATTTTTATACTTCTATTGGTCTTGAGAATAAAATACCATAGAATAGATTTCAGCTTACGGTTTTAATATGACAAGGTGTAAAAAAACTTAGAATAATAAGAACTGTTTTTCTGGTCACTGTGCTTTTTTCTTTTTCTTTTTTTTTTTTTTTTATTAACATCTTTTTTTTTTTTTTTTTTTTTTTGCAGGTAATCTTTGTGAAGCAGGGATGCAAATCTAATATTTGTAAAAGCAACCTGAAAATGGACTACAGTCTGCACTTCAAAGAAATCAACCAGGATCGTTACTTCCCCCTAAAAAAAAGGTTACAATACAGATTCAGAACTGTTCAAAATGAATTTAAAAAAAATTATCAAATATTTTTTTGTTTAATAATTATTAATATAGTCCTTTCTTTAGAATTAAGAAACAGATTGTAGCTTTATTTACTGCAGTAAACATTTTTTTCCTTGATTAGCTAAAACATTAAAAAGTTGTTTTTTTTTTTTACATCATACAACTTTTTGAGTATGAATATGTTATGTTTTATTAAAAAAAAAATGTCCAGACAGTTTTGTTTTCATGTTATGTCTCCTTGTAGCTCTTTATTTATGTTTGTGTGTCTCTAAAGTCCACAGAATTTCCTTGAGTTCGTCCGATCATACGAGAAGAAGGACTTGGCCCTGGAGGTGACTGTGACTAATAAAAAGGCTGACGACGCCTACGAGGCAAAGCTCATGGCAAAGTTCCCAGACTCCCTGTCCTACTCTGGTGTTCGAGTTACAACTGTGAGTATTTTGGTGTGTGGAAATCACCAAATTTGTTTAAATATAAATATTTTTATGTCATGAATAGCCTAGGTATTCCGTAAGCTATGTCCAAACCTGCTAGAATGGGAGGTTTATCTCAAAGTTTCAACTATAAAATTGCTCTTTTTTAGCCAAACAAGCATATCATCTGTGTTGCCAACCATAATGGATCTGAAGCCGAGTGTGAGCTGGGAAACCCATTTAAGACAAACTCAAAGGTACATCTCTATAACTGATAAGAGTTGCTTAAAAGGTTAGCTAGAGCTACTTTAGAGTTAGATGTTTTTTTAATTAAATTCACAGGTGACCTTCCACATCATCATCGGTACAACGCGTCTAACTCTCGACACCACTGAGATTGAGATTGACCTGCAGATCCAAACGTAAGTCATTGTGATTAACTATATTAACAGACCTGAAAAAGAGCAATGCTCTGACTATTGCCACCAATTCAATATTTAGAAATAATAAAAAAGAAATCACCACCTCTTAGATGTAAAACTATTGAATTATTGCATGACATTGCGTCACGATCATAAATATCAGTAAAATTCCAGATTTTATTGAGATTAAGAAAAAGAAATAAACAGTGAATCTTTAATAACTTTTTAATCTGATGTAGGAATTATATAAACATCAATGCGTATTTTTTGACAGCACATTTCCTTTATCTCAGGAGCTGTCATGTCAAACAATAAACTCATTGAAGAAAAGAAGATGAACCAAAATTCATATCTCTGACATTTGCCACCTTTTTTCGTCTTAAAGGAAGTAAATTCTCGATAAATTAACTAAGAAAATACTTTGATTGCTTAAGTTATGTACTCGTGTGAAATAAATGTAAAAACAATTAAACGGTGGACAAAGGAAGTGGACTTTCTCAGCCCCTTTTTACCTTTCTTTTAGGATGTAAGTTAAAATTTTATATAAACTGTCAGTGGTCAGTTATAGGAATGTTAAAGTGATTTGGAACAACAAAAACTCAGGAAATAGTAGGTAAAGCAACTTGACAATGTGGGGGAAGTATATGCTGACAAAGTAGTTTACACCTGAAAAAATTTTTTTTGTATGTGTCTTTATTAATGTACAGATCATATTCTAATGCCCAAACTAAGCAAATTTAAAGGGGGAGGATACTTAGCTACCTACAAAGCGATTTATCAGGCATGAAAGTTGTGGGCACAGTTTCTGTGTCTATTTTTAGCATGTTTGAAAATCAGGGGAATTCTCTGCAATTCAATTTCACAAAAATTGGTGCAGCGATAAAAAAATGTAGAGTCTTTGATGTTAACATATTTTTACTGTCAATAATATCAATGGAATATTAGTAAGGAGAAAGACATCTGCACAGGCTCGCACAGATGACTGCGACAGGAAGCAATCCTGTGTGGTTAAACCTAAAGAAGTAACACCATGACTAAACTTAACTGAATTATTGTGGTTATTGAAAAAACATGTTGAGTACTTAGCGTAAAGGAATTTTCTTTTATTATTATTTTAATTTTTTTTTTGCCGTCTCAATGTTGTTTAAATCCAGCTGTACTTCCAGCTGTTATGGGCTTAATCTGGGGATAGTGTTTTTCCAGGTTTTATTATTGATTTTTACATTTATTTAATTTTGTTATGTTTATTATATTTTTGTATTTTTGTTTTTATGTATTTTTGTTATCATTATGATTACCTCCATCTCCATGGCTTAGAACTTGATCTTTATAACAGTCACTATCAAACTGCTAGTAGCATGCAATGAGCCTGTTTTAATGAGGCAGAATCAATCCAGTTTCTTGGTCTTAGTTGAAAACAGAACCTTTGTAGATCATCTGTAACACATCCAATTACTGCATGCCAAGGTTTTTGTTTTGCTGACAGACGTCAAAATGTCATGTGGTCTTAAGATTAGCTCTAAACGGTGCATAGAGAGCATTATAGAATGAGTTTACTATGGCTGATTAGCTGCATTGAATGAATAGTAACCAAGTGTAACGTAAAGCATCAGATGCAGTGATATGAAGCACGCAGTCACTGGAATCTAGAGCTGTAGAGGTGCGTTCTCTAGATGGATGACTCACACTTCTTTAAATTATCCGACGTACATCACCAGCTCCACCTATGAAACTCGTTTTTTTTTTTTATAATTTTCTTTAAATTTTAAATCTAATTCAGATGCTGTTGGTTGACATAAATTGTTAAACATGTTCATGTTCGACAATCCTCCATTGAGTTTTAGTTAGAGCAGCTCCTTAAGGAGTAGATGGCCAAAGTTCTACACTTAGTGGAATGCAAAATATTCTCTAAAGTAAAATAAAACATAAAGTGGTAGTGATTAATGCCAAGAGCAACATAACCAGTTACTGGATGATGAGGCGATCACTGTTTCCACCAAGGGTTAGCTTGCTGTGAATAGCTTTTTTTCTTATATACAAGAAATCATCATTTTTAACTTTCTCTTTACATTAATGATAGATTACAATAATCTGATACATTTAAATTACATGTGATATCGATATGCAATATCAGATGGTGTAAAATAGAGGTTTATTAATCTAAAACAAAACAATTACAGATTCAACATTTTAGATTATTATATTTTCTTGAAGAGTACAATAGTGTGGCTGGGCTAACTCAAATACTAGTTAGTAGATGTGTGAATTACTGTACCTGGAGACCCTATTATGACATATTATATTTTTGACAATTTGCAAATTGTTTTTTGTCAATTACATGGTTTAAATATTGAGTCCTACTCTTTATATTAGTCTGAATAAACCACAGATGTGTTGATCTGAAAATAATTTCCATTCTATAGCTTCTTACATTTCTGCCTTTCTTTAAATTCAATTTTAAAATAGCAGCCGTTTGAAATGAAAGGGTAGAGCTTACATATGTGTAAGCTCTGTTATATTAGAAAGTATCTTATTTGTCAGTTTCCAGGCAGCTAATTAATTTTTTGTCATTACCTGTAATAAGCAGTTTGTTGTTGTTTTTAACTATATTTTCTCCCAACATAGTCATTAAAATACAGTAAAATACAACATATCTGTCTCTTATTACTGTATGTATGTCTATAAATATCTTTATTTAGATTGTCTCCTTATCTTTTAGGACCAGTTTTCAAGATATCCCACCTGTAAAAGTTAGCTGTAAAGTGATAACTGAATTCCCTTTGACACTGAGTGGGTAGGTACATGGATTTAGATTCTCTGTAGAGCTGCTATGTCAACATATTGCGATGACATATTGCTGCATTAGAAAAATAAAACTTCCTTTGCTCCAACAGTGAAGCCAAACCCGATCAGATTTCCTTTGGAGGTGTTGTAAAAGCAGAAACTGCAATGAAAAGAGAAGAAGACATTGGGAGCTTGGTTAACTTTACCTTTAGGGTGAGTTTAGTCATATAACTATTAAGAACATTAATTATTGTAATGATTATGCTGCTCTGGGAGTACCATCCATATTTTATCCTCCAGATTACCAACTTGTGGAGTTCCTTAGTCCCTCCTCGGGGTGCTTCTCTACACATCCAATGGCCCAAAAACAATAAAGATGGGAAATGGCTTCTTTACCTGGTGAAGGTCACATCCCATGGACCTGAGAACATCATCTGCTCTCCTGATTCTGAAATCCACTCCCTTAAACACGTCTGGGTTGGTGTTTCTGTGAACCTGATGTTAAAGAATAATTTACAGATATTTCTGCAGATACTTCCAGCTTTATTCTATCTTGATTTAATATAAAGAAATGTTTTTGTTTATTTTCAGGCGAGCTCTCACTCTCGGGAAAAACGGGACATTGCTGAGAATGAAAAAGCAGTTGGTCGCAAAATGGCTTTGCTTTCAAGAAACAGCAAAGTTTTGGTGAGTTTATAAAAATATGCTATAGTATAAAGATGCAAACATGAAGTGTTATATGTTTTCTTTCTTTATTTAGTCCTGTGAAAGTGAAAACAAATGTGTGGTGCTAAAGTGCCCCCTGCAGGGGATTGATGGTGCTGCTGTTCAACTGAGATCCCGATTGTGGAACTCCACCTTTATTGAGGTAAAAAAAAAAATTGTTTTTATCTCAACAGTTTCTATCTAGTATTGATCAGTGTAAAGATGGCTTTATCGTTAATCACCTAAGTTCTTATTTTTGTTTTCACACAGGACTATGCTTCCTTTCCAACCACAGTTTTAGAAGTGAAAGCTTCATTTGTGCTTAACTCTGAGAGTCAGAACATTATCCTGAGGTCTCCTACCCACACTGTACGCACTTCATCAGCTGAATGTACTCTTACCCCCAGCAGTCCTGATGTAACCCTGGTGTCATCTAGTTTTTCTGCTTCGACATTGTGTCTCAGGTCAGGGTCCTTGTGTCGCCGGACAGCGACGTGGCTCAGTTCGGGGTTCCCTGGTGGATCATTCTGATAGCGGTTCTGGCAGGGATCTTGATTTTAGCCTTGATGGTGTTTTTATTATGGAAGGTGAGTACATGTTTGTGGAGAAAAGGCAACCTAGATGCAAACACACCGATCACATCAGACGGCAATGAAGCCAGACATTAAAAATGTTAATGCTCATTTCCGTCAAGCATAACTGAGCCTCGACGTCTTTAATGTTCAAAAGATTCACTATATCATATAAAATATCTTAATAACAGATTAACCTGATTTTATTGATTACATCTGGTTAGTAACATGAAATAATAATGAAGTCATCTAGTGGTTCTCGGTTCTGGTCTTCAAGTACCACTGCCCTGCATGTTTTAGATTTCTCCTCACTGCTACACACTTGACTCATGTAAAAAAAAAATGATTAACAGACTTCTGCAGCACTTCAAGGCTGCTGAGGAGGTCATGCAATCATTTGAATCAGGTTATGCAAGAACAGAGAGATCTAAAACATGCAGAGCAGTCGTTCTAGAGGAGCAGGTTTGAGAACTACTGAGCTAAACAAATAATGGGCCTTTTAACCACAAATATGCTTTCATCAAAACCTTTTATCTCTGACCGTTTGACTAGGATAGCTTTAGGATAGATCACAGCATTATTCCTAAAACTCTTCCACAAAGGCTAAACTTATGAGGTGCATAGGTTTGCATGTCATTTTTGATTACATTTCTTTTAATGACAAATTGAACAGTTAGGCGATGGGATATTGTTTTAGAACCTAACCCTGCTTCAAACCTCTGCAAAACGTTTTCCCTTACCTGTCCGCATTGATCTTCACGATGCTGTTTGTTCACTGATGTTTTCGAACAAACCTCTGAGGTCTTCATATTCCTGCAGGGTTTATTTATTCAATAACTCACAGCTACAACTAAAATAGTTATTTGTGAATGCAGCTGTGCCCATTGTTTTTTACTTAGGGATATCAGAGTAAAGGGGTGGGAATACATATCTACACCAGATATAAGAAAATATTTATCTGTAAAATATTTGGAAAACCAGGAATAAATGTTATTCCATTATCACAATAATAGGTGGTATATCTTATACACATGTGCTAATAACAGATAAGGCATGACTTTGGTTTTAGTTGCACAAAAAGATTTGTCATTAAACAGGTGGTTTTAATGTTGTGACTGATGGAGCAGTGAAGACACAGTAACTACTGAGCACCTTAGCTTGTATAAAATTTTTCAGTGATTTATAGGAACAAGTAACTAATGCAATATGTGTTAAAACCTAAATTAAATTCAGAATAGTTTAAACTCTTATTCATTTTAGGTTGTAAAATAAAGTCAAAGAAAATACACCCAGTCTGGTAATAAAACACCTATTCATTTGTAGCTTCCATTCTACTGGTACGTTTGGATTAATACAGTACAAGTCAATGTAGGTATTATGCTCTTGAGGGGTTTGTTTATTTTTTGTCTTTATGTTTCCATTCTTATCTGTGTTTCCCTTCTTATCTGTCCATCACACTGCTAGGATAAGCAGTGTGATGGACAGGGGGACGAGAAAACGTGAGAGACCAACGAAAGGCTGTGGTGGAAAATGACAAAAGAATCAAATGAACCAATCAGGGAAAATATGAAGCAGCTAAGGCTGGGAAGCTTAGAGAGAAAGACTAATTAACAGAAATACGGCCGAGCTGAGAAGAAAAGAAACTATCAACCAAGGGGGAAAGAAAAAAAATTAATCTAAGACAAATAGCACTTATAAGACATGGTCTTAATTGGAAAAGGTTAACAAAGAGAAGCATGAAGTACAGCAAGAGGGTTAAGAAAAGGATAAAAACAAAAGAAAACCAAACTCTAGGAGAACATGATAGCAAGAGCTGGATACTGAAAATAAGCCTGAAAGAAACAACCGTTTCCAACCTGAGTTTACAATAAAGCATTTATAAAAAGTAATCTGTGTATGATGACACGACTAACCTCTGCCCACCCTTGTTCCTCCTCAGTGCGGTTTCTTCAAGAGACCAACTTTAGAACAATACAATGCTGCGTATCAGAAGGCAGAGATCCACCTTCAGGCCTCTGAAAAAGAAAAACTCACTGATGAGGCCTGATTCTCTCTCTGATCAGCGGGTAAAGTCGGCATGAAGTGTGATTATTACTGCAGCTGCTAACGAGCTTCGCTTTGCCAGCCAAACCCGCTGACCTAATGCAGAAACATTCAATCAGACACATATTGTATCGAGCTGAAGATGCAAGTCATTTGGAGGGTTTTACTGAGAACTTTCCACCTAAAGTCAGCATAAAAGAATCAGCATGTTGTGCCTATTTATTTATTTTTGCCCTATGTGTCTCTAAAAAAAAATACTACATAAATCATTATCTGCAAGTTTATTTTGTTTTATAACAGCATTGTTCTCTGCAGACTGCTTTTCTGCACCCTTTTCCTATAAAGCAAAGGCTTCAAAGCATGCTTAACCTGCCTGTCCTCCTCTCCTTTATCAATTTTAAATATTTTTTGTTTAAATCCCTTCTGTCCAACCAGTGTGGGTTCTTCAAACGCTCCAAACATGACGACAGCGTACCTCGCTACCACGCAGTGCGGATAAAAAAGGAAACTCCAGGTTATGACGATGGAAAATCTGAAGTGGATGCTTTTGAAAAGAAGCAGTGGGTGACGACATGGGTTGACAATCATGATTATTAGTTTTTATTTCTTTACCTGGGATTCTGTAAATAATGATGAATTTGAGCCACTGATGTATAATGTGCTTTTTTAAAATTAAGGTTCAAGACAATAGATTTACATGCTGTATTATTTTTTTCAATATTGTATATATTTAAATGTTTCTGCACATTTTATATTTATTTTTTTTTTTATATGAAAGCAGCCTTGCAATCAAAGCCTTGTAGAACAAGTTTACTGCTGTTTCTGGAGTTTTACTGTCCTTATGTGAGGAGAAGGTACAGCTAGCTCACTTTCTCCAACTTGGATTTTTTAACTGTATAAGTTTAGTTTGGGACTGTTTCGACACAAGTTGTTCCTTTTCTAAAACATCTAAGGTACAGTATCAGGTTAAGAATATAAATAATATAAGCATGGTTTATGTAACTGGGCCTCACTCTGTTGAGATGTTCAGGTAACATCCACTGGACCGTAGATCATCACTGAGGCGTTTCTTTTTGTTTCACGCGAGGAATGCAAAAGGAAGATGTAAAAAGTCAAACAATGTAAATTTTTGTTTGTCGAATGAACAAAAAACTAAAATAAAAAAAAATATTTTTTTTTTTTTTTTTTTGCCATAAAGATATAAATACTGTTCTCACTTATTTCTGGGTAAATTTTCTAAAGTTAGCAATACTGTAAAAAATGTATCACTGATTTGATATGTGTCATTTAGTCAATACTTGATGCTCCACCCTCTTTTTATTTTAGTTCTTGTAAAGGTGAGTAAAAGTATGACAAAATAGGAATTTCTAAAATGAGTACAGAGATAACTTGATACACCTTTTAACATATATTTGTTAATTTCTTATGGAAAGTAGCAGAAAAATCAGTCTGCTATTTTAAATGAATTGACTCTCCTGGCTTAAAGGGCTCATAGAATGATTCTATAGGGTATTTGGTGCAGGTCCTTAAGGTCTCTGAATAAGGTGTGTAACATTGGTTGGGCTGAAAATGACATATTTGCTGTTCTATGAGCCTGGTTAAAAGCCCTAGAATGAAACGACAGGTTTTCTTCCTTTTATGGTATGCTCATCAATATTTAGATGAGCTGTGCGCTGAATGGTTGGTGTACAACGAGCGAAGCTGCTGAGCAAAGACGCATCATAGCAACAAGCACTCACTCACTGAAACATCAAATTGTTGATATTGTAGGGTGACCAGACGGACATGTCCTACTTTTCATACCTAAAAAAAATGTCCGGGAGGAATTTCAAAATCGTCTGGGATTTTGGTTGAATACAGTGCAGCAGAACCGAGCCATCAGTTCCGGTTGTGAAGGCCATACGGTCGGAACAGCCCCTCTTTTCAGTAAAAGAAGTTTAGCAAATCCTTCTTTGAACTGTCCAAGATTTTGAAAGCTGTCTTTAGTAAAATGCTTAGAGCAAATGAACAGCTGAGCATCAAACTTTGCAGGGATCTTCTGATACACAAAACTAATCCATGCCTGTTGAGTCTTCGGATCCTTGGGATAGACTGTGAAAAATGTCCCCCTTGTCCGTGCAGCCTGGAACACTGCATTTAAGCCTGTGGTTCTGGCTCATTTTCAATAGAGAAACTGCCTGCTTTCTAATTCTTGTAGAAGTAAACCCAACTGTTGGCCAAACAGCTAAACTAGTGTCTTACATCTACCTCTATTCACGTTCTAAGGCCAGTGAAACAGTGTGCTGGTCTGTATGTCAGTTTCGGGGCGTGACAAAAGTACAGGCTAGTACCAAATAAGGCAACATCCCCGACTCAATTCGGGGCTTCATTTGGATTCGGCCGTTTATGGTGGAAGTGTAGAATTGTGAGATTTGCAGAGGAAGGAGGTGTCGATGGGGTTATAACTTCTCTGTATGTCCATTTCAACCACTGAACTATCGTTATTCATCTATCACAGGATAGACTTGATTTTTCATTCTTTGACCCCTTTAAACCTGACCTATAAATTCTAACCTCAAATTTCCAACAGCCTAATTTTAGACGGACTGATCTGAAACCAGTTCAGATGTTTGGCATCATTGTCCTGTTTATCCAAGTTGGAGCCATCTAGCTGCTGATTTTAGATTGGATTATTCAATCCACTTCAGTGCTGACAGCACAGCAGCCCCACAACATGACACTGCCACTGCCATGCTCATATGCAACTATGATACCCTTTAGAGAGCCTTACCTTGCCTCCTGTTTTTTTTCTGCCAAACTAGCTAAAACACCACAATCTTTGTCTCATCTGAGCATAAATCTTTCTCTAAAAGGCGTTTGATTTTTCCAGATAAATTTCAGCTACTGTTGGAAAGACTCAGCTTTAGGAGAATGCTGTTTTAGAAGCTATCCTCTTAATGCTTCCGTTTTAGTGGAAGTAGACACAGGTGCTGCTGCATTTCCCAGTTTATACACCACTGGAAACATAGCAGTCCCCATGTTATGTATGTCACCCATTTCAGACACAGCTGAGTGTTCTAACAAAACAATCCCAAACATGGATCAAACTGTTTTCATCTATGCAGTTAAAAAAAAAAAAAAAAATTCAAACCAAGATGTTTAATGAACTCTAGTCTCTGCCGACTAAAACTGAATTATGCAGCCACATCAAGTTAACTAAACCCTAATTTGTGCATATATATATATATATATATTTTTTTTTTTTACATATATGTGTGCTTGTATTGTGTTTTTAATGCATCCAGGAAAAAAGGTTCAGAAAAATAAGAAAAATTCTAAATTAATGCAACATTTGTATCTCTGAAGCATACACACTGACCAGAAATATAGGCATCTTTTTACATTGGAAGATCAAATATCTGACCTTTAATCTGAAGGAGTTGCTTCCTTCTCTTACCCCATGGGGTAAGAAAATCCTCAGTAATGAGATAAAGAGCAGGGAAATTAAGCCTACCAGAGACAACTGTAATACCATTATTCACAGCTTGAGGATCGAGCCCACAGCTTGGCTTCAAGTCTAACAAGTTTCTCCACATTTTAATTCCTTTTTATAGCCTTTTGGAAATAATTAAATTACCGGCATCATTAGTAAACAACATAACCTCGAGTGTGCTTCCAATATGGCAGTTGTAAGAGGATATTTTAGTTTTCTTCTAAAATCAAATTTTTTATTAAAACATGTAAAATATGGGCTGGATTGTTTTACACCAAATGCAGGATCTTCAAAAGTATGTTTATGATCTCTCAGGTTTCTTCTGTTGCTGAATAATAAGGTTGCAAGAATAACAATATAATATAATAATAATTAAGCCACATCCAGTTTCACAAGTTTTATTTATCGGCTAATTCAAAAAAATATTACAAATATTTTCCACACATTCAGAAGAACATCCAGGAGCTGGTAGGTTATAAAGCTTAAAGAATCAAAAATATTCATTTATATGCAAACCAAAGCTGCAGGGCTAAACCAGAACTATAATGACAGTAGAGACAAGAGAGAAGTAAGGAATTCCCAACAAGTAGCCTTTCGTCTATGCATCTTGAGATTGATTTATTTCAGTCAAAGGTTAAGCGAAAGGTTTTCTCCTGCTCCTTGCGCTGCGTGTCGCACAGTTTGGACACTTCCTCCACCCTCCGCTGAAGGAGGACCGAGTTCTGGTCGATCCACTGCAGGGAATCCATGTGGGCGTTTAGGATTTTACAAATCTGCTGAAGCTGTGGAGAGACAAAAAGATAAGAGAATGGGGTTAATTACAGCAGTGAAGCATCTTTAGAGCAGGTCTAAAGATGATGGTGTATTGTCTCACCGGGTCACTGGTGTCTGCGGGACCGCTGGACGTGTTCAGGTGCTCAATAATCTCCTTCAGGTCGTGTGACATTCTCTTCAGCTGCGCATCCACGTTCTCGGCCAACTTGTATGTCCGCTCGCGCTCCTCGTCGGCGTTCTGCATGTAGATGGTGCCGCTCTGCTCCTTCACGGACTCCTCCAGCGGGGAGAGCACGTCCTCCAGCTCCTTCTGCTGTGACAGGATAAAGTCCAGCTCCTGGTTCAGCCTCCGCTGATCCAGCTTCACCTTTTCCAACTCCTTGTGCAGAGATGTGATCTTTTCTCCGTTCTCCACCAGCATGCGGTCCCAGGCGTTCACCTGAGTGGCCTGCTGCAGGAAATGCCTCTCCTGGTCCTCCAGCTCCAGGCTCCATTTGTTTATCAGGCTCTCCAGCTGAGCGTAGGTCATCACTGGAGGCGCTGTGGCGGTGGTGAGAGTTGTGGCTGTTGCAGTAGCCGTCATAGTGGTGCTGGACAAAGGTTTGAGCCCGAGGGAGAAGCCCACAGCAGGTCCTGTAGTGGCAGCTGGAGCTGTGGTGGCGGAGGAAGCAGCAGCGGTGCTGCTGGCAACTGAGCCCAGGGGCTTAAGGGGGAAGTTTAGACCCCCTCCTGCTGCTGCTGGTATTGCAGTGCTTGCTATTGAAGCTGGAGTCGAGCCCAGCATGAAGCCTGCAGTTGTTGCAGGGGCTGATGCAGCAGAGGTGATGGGTGAAGCAAAGAGAGACGGACCTGAAGGAGCTGAAGAGGCAGCCTGGGTGTATGCAGGGGGCGCTGGGGTCGATGACGGTTTGATGCCAAAGCCGAATCCTGCTCCACTCTGGGTAGTTGCAGCTGTAGAGGTGGAGGCTGTGGTGGTACCAAAGCTGAACCCTCCTCCTCCTCCTGCTGCTGGAGCTGGAGCAGTGGATGCTGCAGCGGTGGTCACTTGGATTTTGTTGGTCCCAAAACTAAACCCTCCAAACGGTGCACTGCCGGCTGCTGCTGTCGTTGCTGCTGAAGGTGTAGCTGTTGGTGCAGCTGCAGCCTGAGTCTGAGCGGCTCCAAAGCTGAAGCCTCCTCCTGCAGGAGCTGAAGCGGTGATCTGAGAGGACAATCCACCGCCCAGGGTGAACCCTCCGCCCGAAGATGGAGCCAACAGGGAGCCCAGAGTTAGCGTTGTAGCCGCTGTGGTTTGAGGGGTCGCACCCAGGCCAAACCCGGTGGTCTGGTTGCCAAAAGAGAAGCCCGTGCTGGTGGCGGAGCTCTTAGGTTGGGTGCCAAAGCTGAAGGAGCCGGTGGGGTTGGTGGTAGCCTGGCCGGCCGTCCCGAAGCTGAAGCCGCCTCCCGCTGCTGCTGGAGCCGAGGCGGTGGTCTTCTGGGCCGGGAAGGAGAAGCCGCCCGAAGGCTGGCCGAAGTTGAACCCAGCACTCATCGCTTCTCTCTGGGCAAAATGGTCCTTTTCTCGGTGAACCTCTGAGGCTTTTGGCGGGTCGGAAGTCAGGCGATATTTGAAGTTAGCTCACCAAATAAACTCGTCTGTTACGACGATATTTTACGGCTAGGCGGTAAATTCAATCACCCAAAACCACTTTAAAATCGTTTCGGCATACTTAATAAAGACCTTAAAACATACCCGATTCAAAACGTGGCCCCATGAATCGACATTTCTGTTGCTATCTAAAGGAAATGACGACAGTTAGTAGAATACATCATGTTTGGTTCTTCTTCGTCTTTATGGGACTTTATTGGCGGTTGGCACGAAACGAAAGAGCCTTACCGCCACCAACTGGTTTGGAGTGTGGATCTGTACAAAACAAAATCAACACAATAAAACCTAAATAAGATTCAATTCCTCTCAGTCCTCTTAAAATCATTGTTAATAATCTAAGATATTTTTTTAAATAATAATAAAATATAAGAAATATAATAAAAGACAATAAAATAACCCGTTTTGTAAAATGGGTTATTTTATTGTAATTTATTATATTTATTATATTTTATCATTATAAAAAAGCTGAAATGTTAGAACTGTAAATATAGAGTCATATGTTTATATTACTGTCTTTATGTATTTTGTACTGTTTTTCAAGGCTGCACTTTAAAAAAATGAAATTGTCTAGAGAGCTGTTCCTAACGAAATATCTTTTTGTTTACAATTGTGTATACAAAAGGACAAAAGAAATCTTTCTAAGTCTGACAATGAAAATCAATTACAATAACACTTATCTCTTGAGTTCTTCTTAATGATTTCTATTAAATCAATGTGTACTCTTTCCTTTTTAAGATATTGAACAATTTCCCTCCTTTTTCTTTCATACTTCTTACAGTAAACCATAAAATGTTCAATTGTCTCTTGTTGCTCACAGCATTCACACCTGCCGGTGTTATGTTTACCTATTTTGGATAAAGTACTGTTTAATCCTGTGTGCCCAAATCTAAATCTTGATATAATTGTTTCTTCTCTTCTCTTCCTCCCTGCACATCTAATTTCTCCCACTCTCCTCTGAATCATGTAAAACCACCGTCCTTTCCTCTCTTCTTCCCATTGCTTTGCCACCTTTTCTTCAGTCTCTGTTTAATGGTGCTCTTTGTTTCCATCTTACTAATTTTAACTGACACATCTATGGCTTCTCGTGTGGTAGCCTCCTTTGCAGCCTTATCTGTCATTTCATTTCCTTTAACTCCACTATGTCCTGGTATCCATATACTACTGCCTTACACTCAACATTCAGGAAAACGAAAACGTGTTTATATACTCAAAGAGAAATTGATGACAAGAATTCAATAAATATGGTGCCTTTGAAAAAATATCTACCTTTTTTTGTCCAAAGGATCACAAAAAACAATAAAAGTGGTGCTGAACTTTGTAGGCCTGCCTTTCTAGTTATTTAACCATTTAACTTCACACCATTTAAGAGACTGTTCCAAACTAATTATTCAGAGCCAACTTTTCTCCTTACTCCATTCTTTATAAAAAAAAAAAATACTTCCGTCTCTACTGTATTGGTTAAACTACTATGATTCACTATGTTTCCCAGTTTTCCAAGAGCATAATTGATTTAAAATGAGGTCTTTCATTTTTTTTTATCAATACTGAAAATCCATTCTTTCCTGACTGCGTTGCTTATAGTAGAATATCTTCATCAGTCTATTGTTGATGCGTAGTTATGTTTGTCTGCAGGACAAGCAGGATCTTAAATCCTGTATGTCCTGTTCCAAGTCAAATAAACTCAAGTTAACCCACGGCCTGATGCATTTATTATGGTGAGAGGGTAGCAAGTGCATCTTTATTTATAAATGGAGTTATTGATGAAATATAGTAATAAGGATGTAGCCGGCAATAATGACATAAAGTATCAAGATCAACAAATTGCTATATTTATATATATATCATTGATAAACATATTTGCTTACAAAGATAAACATAAAACAAGGGAGCACAGAGAACACAGAACACATAACAAAGAATATCAGGGGGATAGTATATCTACATTCAATGCAGAGTAATAACAATATAAAAAATAGACATTATGATAAATTAAATAAATTGATTAATTTAAGATATGCATGATTATTTATAGCTTTTTTGTTTGTACTTCTGGAAATAGTAGATAGATATAATTTTATTTATTCAATCAATATTTGAAAAAAGGTAAAAATATTTGCAATTTGCCAAATATTATTAGAATAATTGTCTCCTATTTATATTAAGTTTTTCCTCTAAAAAAAAAAATCAAAAATAAAAGTTTATAAGATAGTGAAAAATGCATCGATGCAGCATCGATGTTAAAAATAATTATATACCATTACCTTTCAAAGGTTTCTTGTTACTTTGCAACTGCAAAATACATGAGTTTCTGGATTCTCTTTGCAGTATTTAAAATGTGGGTCAATCGCCTGAATATATCTCATCACGTTCTGGTTAGTAGGGTAAAGACAGCTCCTGTGTAACAGCGTGAAAGAAACATCTCGTATTTATATATCCAATCTGTGGAGTAACTTTCCCTACATTCCAGTCCGGTAGGTGGCGGTAATTTGCCTTGACTTTTGTTTCTAGCAATGTAAATAAAGCATCGAAAGAACCAAACGAGGAGAAAAAGTAAAAAAAAAATTTTTTTATCAATAGTTATTAAAATATTTAATGATAACAGGAATAATAATGATAATTTAATATTTTTAAAGTAATATTGTAGATAGAGATATATTGATAAATAAATAAAAGTATTATGAATTAACACTCCTCACCAATTGGTGGCGGTAATGCTCACCGAAAAGTTGTTTGCCAACCGCCATTAAACACAAAACAAGACAAGACAAATGAGGAGGGGTAGCCTCTTGGCTTTGAAATGTCTCTTCGGATTAGCTTGTTGATCTATTTGCCCGTGAAGATTTAGCAGAGAAGGACCACATCAAATATAGGACGATGCCAAAGCATAGCAGAGTGCGTGGAGCTGTGGATAATGAAACTAAATTAAGAAGCCTGATACTCAAATCATAACAATAGTATCTCAGCGAGTGTCTTCTCAGCCCAAACCCGGCTGTGTGAGGCGGATAAAGAGGCTTTCTGCTACTCATCTTAACTCCAGCAGGTTCACAGAGGCGTCATCATGAGGCTGCTGAGGTTCCTGAGGAGCAGTGTGTCCATTGGGAAGGACATCGACTTTTATTCCAGGTTCTCTCCTTCCCCGCTTTCAATGAAGCAGTTTCTGGATTTTGGTAAGAGCTGCACAGCAGCTTTGAAATAAAATAAAGTATTTAAAAGCAATTTAAAGGCAACCACACACTTCAGTATATTTGATTGAGATTTTATGTGATAAACCTTCCCAAAGTAGTGCATCATTTTATTTTGTTAAGTAAATTGATCTCAGAACATCACATACTGTTTGATATTTCTTGCTATTTAATCAATTAAATGGCTCATAAATAGTTATAACAACGTTACAATCTGACAGATAATCTTCACTGAGGAATAAAATAACAATTTTGTGCATATTTTTTTTCCAGTATTGTTATTGCTATACAAAGTTTGGCAGAAGTGAAAATAAATGCATGCTGCACTATCAGAATCGTTTTACATTAGAAATCAATTTCCAGCATTTAAATTAGAAGTTAAAACTGTGTGCATATTTTGGCACTATAGTCCCTGATGTTTGATTCATTCTTATTATAGCAGGAAATATGAAAACTGTGCATTGTGGGCAATAAAGATGTCATCTGGTTTGTGTTCAAGCTGTAGAAGAACTAAATGCTTAAATGTGTGCAAAGTCATTCTGATGCCCTTCTTATATATTGTTGACTCTGAGTTTTCCTCTTTCAATCTTTCTTTTAGCAAAAAAAAAAATAGATACAATTTTACTTTAATGACGTTTGGTCTTCTCTCCATTTTTCATCCAGGCTCAGAAAACGCGTGTGAGAAAACCTCCTTCGCCTTTCTCAGACAGGAGCTTCCTGTGAGGCTGGCCAACATCATGAAGGAGATCAACTTGTTGCCAGACAACCTGCTGAGGACTCCATCTGTGGGACTAGTCCCACAGATGGAGTAGTCCATAAATAGTTATAACAACGTTACAATCTGACAGATAATCTTCACTGAGGAATAAAATAACAATTTTGTGCATATTTTTTTTCCAGTATTGTTATTGCTATACAAAGTTTGGCAGAAGTGAAAATAAATGCATGCTGCACTATCAGAATCGTTTTACATTAGAAATCAATTTCCAGCATTTAAATTAGAAGTTAAAACTGTGTGCATATTTTGGCACTATAGTCCCTGATGTTTGATTCATTCTTATTATAGCAGGAAATATGAAAACTGTGCATTGTGGGCAATAAAGATGTCATCTGGTTTGTGTTCAAGCTGTAGAAGAACTAAATGCTTAAATGTGTGCAAAGTCATTCTGATGCCCTTCTTATATATTGTTGACTCTGAGTTTTCCTCTTTCAATCTTTCTTTTAGCAAAAAAAAAAATAGATACAATTTTACTTTAATGACGTTTGGTCTTCTCTCCATTTTTCATCCAGGCTCAGAAAACGCGTGTGAGAAAACCTCCTTCGCCTTTCTCAGACAGGAGCTTCCTGTGAGGCTGGCCAACATCATGAAGGAGATCAACTTGTTGCCAGACAACCTGCTGAGGACTCCATCTGTGGGACTAGTCCAGAGCTGGTAGGCCAGCTTCCCCGCCTAGAAAACACCTCTGCAACCAGCAGTGAGTGATTTTATGTCCTGTTTCAGGTACATGCAGAGCTTTCAGGATATTCTGGAGTTCAAAGATAAAAATGCAGACGACGAGAAAGTCACCTATGAGTGAGTTTTGCCAATGGAAAAACTGCTCTGCTCTCTCAGTCTAGTTTCACTGAATGTTTTCTCTCTGCTTAGCTTCACAGATGCTGTGATAAGAATTAGAAACCGCCACAATGATGTGATCCCCACCATGGCTCAGGGGGTCGTGGAGTACAAGGAGACCTACGGCACAGACCCGGTGGTCAGCCAGAACCTTCAGTATTTCCTGGATCGTTTCTACATGAGCAGGATCTCCATCAGGATGCTGCTCAACCAGCACAGTGAGAACAGTTACTGGTTTTTATTCATTTATTTAGCTGTTCATTAGCAGTGCAGCAGGGAGCTATTTTAGTAAAGGTGCAGAGGTTCTGCAGCTGTTTCTGAAATGTCTACCTCTGCAGATGACGACAAAACAATAGCCCCCCCCCCCTCCAAACTTAGTGATAAACACACTGCAACATGTTGCTTATCTGCCTCTACAAGCGAGAAAGTAGCTTCTTCAAGCCTAGTTGAAGAGATATAATGGATAAAAAAAAGATTGTTTTGAAACCCTCCTTTATCTACATTTTGTTCTTCTTCTCTCACAGGTCAAGTCTCTAATTTGTATTGCATTAAATAAACATTCTCACAAAGTTGGAGGTAGGGATGCAGATATTGGTCGAATATTAGCCAGAAATCTAATATCAGATTTTATCTACCAGCATCTAAAATCTTCAATATTATTTCTAGAAACAATTTGATTCTGTTAAAAGTTTCTGTAACTAATATGGTTTGTTTTACATGGGTCAGTTGTTTTCATACCTTTTGCTTTTGTTGACTTATGTTCCCTGCTTTAGTAATATTACTTGATCAAGCCTTTCATACCATTCTACAGTATCAAATAAGTAATTAAACCTATATTTGGTGCTAATATCTTCTTGGCTCAATATTGGTATCGGGCAATTCTCAAAGCTGCAATATCGATATTGTATTAGAAAAGTTGTATCGATGGACATCTGGGGTTTACTTCCTGAATTCAGCTCATAAGATCTAATTTAGCACTTTTACATTAATTCAGTCCAACATGTTCAAACACAATTTGAACAGAAAATGCTTTTATTTATGTAAAGGAAGAAAAAAAATATTTTTATGTTTTCTTAGTAACTTATGCCAGTTATTGCTCTGAGATTACCCCCCCCCCCCCCCCCCCCCCCCCCCCCCCCCCCCCCCCCCCTCAGTGAGCAAGGCATCATTCAGGGATTAGAGTTTAGGCGATACATTTCCCTGTGTATTTAATAACGCAAGCAAGAGCAAACCTCCAAGATGTGAGTAAAAGAAAAACAATGCTGTTTGTGAATAAAAACATAACAGGGAGTGCTTTTATTCTGAAAATCCAGTGTCTCTTTGTAGCAGGAGAGCATGTTTTTGGAGGCAAGTTAGGTTCATTTTGAAATGAATAAAAGTAATTTAGAACAAAGTTCAGGTAAAAGTGCATATTAGGTGATTATTACGCTGCTGTAATAAACAGCATATCAATGCGTTTTTTGCACCATGTTTCTTCTCCCACACTGTTTACATCTGATCACTGCTGCACTTAACTGTCTGAAAAGCTGTGCTAAACCAAAGTTCTTAGATAAAAGTCATCTAAGTCTAAGAAACAATTCACTTCCTATGGTGTGTGAATCAAACTAACAGTAGATTGGGCACATTTCTGTTGCTAAATAACCATAACTCCATTTATCCGTTATGTGTAGCTGTTTGACCTTTCAGAGTCCCGAGGGGAAACGGAGACACTGGGGACGATTTAGAGAGACCAGCTGAGCTAACATTTTTTTGGACTGTAGGACGAAGCCTGGATAACAGGAGGAAACCCAAACATGGAAACTGTTAACAATGGTCAGCCTCCTGCTTATCCTTTGCTTAAATCAATTAACTTTAAAACACTGGCTGTCATAGTGTTGCCATGACAGCCAGAGGTTTGTAGGCTTCGGAGGGTCTCCTTCAAACAAATTGCTGGGAATAAAGATTGGTCACAAGACTTGAGCTCTTTTTACTTTTCAGACTTTAAAACGGCTCAAACTGCAGAACGTCTCAGATGATGTTTTTCACCCCATCAGTTCAGACTGATGACATTACCTAAAATTTTGCATGTTGTGATTTAAAAACTCCACTAATTTTTCTCCTTGAATCTTCTCCCATGTGTCTGCAGAATATTATCAACCTTAACCTTCTGCATTTCATCTATATACGCAGTTGGAATCTGCAGATTATTATTTGCCCAAATGGGAAATCCTGGAGGAAATCAGTATAATTAGTGTTATGAAAAAACATATTTGATTTCTACTAATCTTCCCATGGTTACTTCAGCTCTTTCTTCTTGTTTAGCCTGCTTTTCCTCTTCTATCTGTATCTAATTTTAGAAAATCAATTTGATCTGAATATGGGTTGATACAGACCTTTACCAGTTTAACAGATTTATTGTAAAAAATGTATCACTATTTGTTTGATTCTTTCCATGTTTAGTCATGTAAATTAAATTGAAGATGCTGTTAATTTCTAATTAAATAACAAAGCGCATTAATAAGGCAGATGGGCCGGAGTCAGTTGTCGCTGTTCTCTGTTATCAGAGTTTAGCTTAATGGTTAAATACCTACTTTACTGCCTTGTTGCTGCCTTACTGCCTTGTTGCCGGGTAACTATCAGAAATGTGCTAAAACATGCAGCCTTGGAGATGTGCTGGGCTAAAAGAACTGGGGCTTTAATGTAAATCCATTTATTGTCCAATAATTGGGGAAGTTCACTTTCTGCTTTTGACTCATCCCCTTGGAAAGCAGTGGGCTGCCATTGTGCGGCGCCCCAGGAGCAGTGTGGGGTTGAAGTTTTTGCTTAGGAACCCAAAGTGCAGGCTGTGGGGATTGATCCGGGTACTTGCAACCTTCTCAGAGCATAAGCACACTGCTCTAACCACTAGGCAAACACTCTATGTGAAGAGAGTTGTTCTACCCTGAACCCTAAACAACATCCTGCCACAATTTCATTACTTACTTACTAAACCTCCTTATGCATCTGAACCTTTATTCCCAGAGTGTTCTTACCTTGAACCCTTAATCTTGACCTGGGCTGTCTGCCATTAAATCCTTCTGAAATACATTTAGGTTGGTGGTTCTCTGTGGCAAAACATGGAACAGGTTGGGGAAGATGACGATTATAGGGAACACAAGTGTGTTCATGTTAATGAAACATTTTCTCTCCTGTCATAATAAAGTAGTCAAATTCTGCTATTGAAGATTATGAATCCGAACCAAATCTGGATTTAATTCTTCCTCCTGTGCATCATATACTCTAATATTTAATGATTGTTTCCTTCTTAGATAATCGCCTCTTCTCTCTGTTGTGTGCAGCTCTCCTGTTCGGTGGGAAGGTCAAGGTGAATCCTGCACACCCCAAACAGATCGGCAGCATCGATCCTCACTGTCGTGTCAGTGAGGTTATCAGAGGTGCTTTAGAGCTTTTTATGTCATTATCACAGAGACTCTTCAGTGTTTTCATAATTAAAAAGAAACAATCTTTTTTGTAGATGCCTTTGAAAATGCGAGACACCTTTGTGACCGGTACTACATGAACTCGCCTGAGCTGGTGTTGGAAGAATTTAATGGTAATATGTTTAAATATGATTTTTATTTTCTTAACATAGTTTATATTTTAAAACTTGAATTGTCAGTAAGTATTGACTAGAGGAGTCCAGTTTAAGCGTGTGAATTCAGTGGTATTGTTTATGGCTTCAGCCAAAGATGAAGACAAACCCGTCACTGTGGTTTATGTTCCATCTCATCTGTACCACATGGTGTTTGAACTGTTTAAGGTGAGCCTTTCTGCCTGAAATCCTCTCTTTGAACTTGTATGTTTTTTTGGAGGGTTGTCAAACCTTTCTGTACTGCTCGTTGCAGAACGCCATGCGGGCTACCATGGAGTTATATGGAGATTCGATGGAGTACCCTCCAATTCACACACAGGTTGCTCTGGGATCCGAGGATCTCACTGTCAAGGTAAATTCAAACTGTTTTTTAATAGAAGTTACTTAGACTGAATCTAGTCTGGTTTGATCTTAACCAGCAATGCTTACGATTATAGTTTGCTCATGTCTTTGGTTGGTACGTGTATCTTGCGTTTTGTTTCAGGTGAGTGACCGTGGCGGTGGTGTGCCTCTCCGTAAGATAGACCGACTGTTCACCTACACGTACTCCACTGCTCCACGGCCCAGTATCGACGGCTCCCGAGCAGCTCCTCTGGTCAGAAACACAAAGATTAAAAAAAATGTTATGCTTGTATTGTGTTGTTTAAATAGAGAAAGAGTGATGATAAATGAAATCATAAAAAAATAATATATATTCAGGTCCTCTGGTGACAAAATCGGATATAATCATCACCCCGCCACCACCGTGCTTTGCAGTCAGTGGTTTGGTTCTCCTTAACTCCAAGAGTTCAGATTATACTTTCTAAATTTAAGCCGTACCTCTATGAAATCTTAAATGTGAAAAAAAACAGCTCTTCCAAATAAACCAAGGTCATTACATTTTTGTTTTTGTAAATAGTCTTCCACTGAGTTGAAGGTCCTGGAAGTGTTCTAATTTCTCTGAGCATTTATCCAACTATGATTATCTATTGTCATAAATGAAGCACACAATATTTTATCTGTTAATTATTGCGGCTTCAAAACTTAAAAAAATTGGACAAACATTTTCAATTAAAAAAAAAAATAAGTATGCAGAAATTTAGCTGTTTCCTTGCAGCCGGGAAATGCCAACTCTTTCTGCACAGAGTTTGCATGCTCTCTCCAGGTACTCAGTTACATTTTGGTCACTCAGCCTCTCTGAATTACTCTGAGGTAGTGTATGTATATCTGTGGGGTGCTTTGTCATAGATTGTTCCCCACCTCTTTCTCAATAGCCACTGCAGATAGTTACCAGCACTTTTCAGAACTTTAAAAAATAAACTTCCAATCTGATTTAATCGTTTTCCTCCCTAACAATATATTACCACACTGGTTTGTTCATACTGATGATCATGTCAACAAGTACCTTTAATTAACAGCTCTGGCTGCTATTTTCCTTCACTAAATCGTACAGAGGAGGGTTTCCTTCATTTTCCCTAAAAATGCACGATCAGTTCTGTTTTCTTTCATAGGCGCATGTCTGCTACTGGTCTTTGTTGACAGCTTTTTGTCAACATTTTTTTCACTGTTCTGGAAAAACGTATGATCAGCATTAGGGCTGGGTTTTTTCGCTAAAGTCCTGAATCGATTCGATTTTGATTCATACAGCTCTAAATCGATTAATTTCGATTCGATCTGTTTTTACAATGAAAGTGGTTCAACTGTTTCGAGATACTCACGTATTTTATTTTTTTCCTGTAATATTTAACACAAAGTGCAAACTTGTTAATCGGACAGTTTAAACTTGAGATGTGAACAAAACTGTCTCAAAAGTGCAAACTTGTCTGTGAAAAGTGAAAAAATGAAGCCTCACACGATCAAGCAGACGTGACACAGACAAACCATATTTGCAGCATTGTCTGTAAGAACTACAGGGTGTTTGCTGGTCAGCCCCCATTTATTAATGTCTTTAGTCAACCTATTGGCTATATTTGCTGCTGTCTGGCTTGAAGTCATCTTGAGAGCATCTTTCCTGCTTATTTGAATGTGAACGTCACTCGGGTCACTATAAAACGAATCGATCTTATTTCCTAGAAATCGATTTTGCAAAAATGTAAAGGAATCAATTTTTTTACCCAGCCCTAATCAGCATAGAAATCACCTAAATAAGATGGTGAATAAAAGAAATAAAAATAAATAAAAAAAATAGTGAAAGGAAAAAACTTTCCTTAATGTATGATCATAATAAAACTAGACAGAAACTTTGAATCGAGTATTTTAAGTTTTTCGATTTTTTTCAAATGCAATGTCATTTTTTGGTTCCAGGCTGGTTACGGCTACGGCCTGCCAATCTCTCGACTCTACGCCCGCTACTTTCAGGGAGACCTGAAGCTCTACTCTCTGGAGGGATATGGGACCGATGCAGTGATCTACATACGGGTAACTGAGTTTACAGCACAGCAGTCTCCGTTTCTGCCGCCGAATAAGATTCAGCAGAGATTCCTCCTTTGTCTTCTTCCAGGCGCTCTCCACAGAGTCAATCGAGCGGCTTCCTGTGTACAACAAGTCGGCCTGGAAGCACTACAAGACGATCCACGAGGCTGATGATTGGTGCGTCCCTAGCAAGGAGCCCAAGGACATGACAACGTTTCGTAGTTTCTGATCCTAAAAAGTGAATGAATTTGCAGAAAAGCTCGTGTTAACGACCGTGTGAGGGTGTGTTTAAAGATGAAAGTAGGATAATGGGAGATGTTTTGTGCCATATGTTTTAAGTCTCATAGGGAAGCTACCAATTGTATTGACTTGGATGGGGTTGGAGGTCATTTCTTGGCTCTCTCTGTATTGAGCGTCACATTTAGTATTTTATCCTGGTGGGAATAAATATAGTCGCTTATAGTTTAACTCTGAAATGGCTTCATTAGTTTTGAGTTTATTAAGTTTGTAGTTTTTCATTGCTTTTTGAAATGTGAGTAGCATTTGTTACATAAGACAAAAAAAAAAAGAAATATTGATGTAAACTGTTTTTTGGGTTGTTTGGCGATTTATTTTAAGTTTAAGCCTTTTTCTCTGAGTTTATTAAGCAAACCTGCGGCTGTTTCCTTTGTTACAACAAAAACTGCCATCTGAAAGCTGTTATAAGTTTAAGCAAACATTTCTGGAGGACTAATTGGCGTCCTTTGAGATGTTCTGTTGTTTCAGCCAAGATTTAGCACCTTAAATGAGATCATGTGCGCATCCTGTCATGTATAACTTAATATGATGCAGCAGAGTGCTGTGTTTGTATTAGATTTAGGTCACTGTTGACATGTTGCACTATAAGCACTTATCTTTAGGGTTTAATGGATTTATTTGTATAAAATGCTCTATGCAAACAGAGTAGATGGAGGCAGATACTGATGTAAACAAAGCTTTAGGTTTTTGTTTTAACAGGCAGAAACACTCCACTTTCTTGGATTGTTTAGGGCATTAAGGTCAAGCGTCTCTGGAAGCTTCCCAGAATGTTCTATATTTATGATGCAATGTTGGGGCAAAAGCTTGAATAAATTATTTTCAAATGATTGTTGTTGAATGCTTAAGTCTGTTTTTAGATGTTTCATAGCTGTTAATGCAGTAAAAAGTTGCACAAATCAGCTAGTTTTATTTAACTTTAAGGGACTATATCATGAAGAAGTAACTTTTAACCAAGTTATGCTAATCCTTCATCAGATCACACAGAGGGGTATTTCATTTAATTCATGTTCTACAATAACTGGTTCCTCTGTGAGACAGAACACTAATGATTTAAATGTTGAGTAGCTCTTTTATCAGCTAATCTGCACAGGCAGCAACGTTTCCTTTTTTTGCTAATGTCTACGTCATGAACATCTGTTGTTTGGCCTTGAGCCGTCCAAAGTGTTGTGATATGTTGCAAAATGGGCGGCACCAAGATGCGGAGAGTCTGTTTCTTTTTTTGAAGCTTTTTTTTTGGTGTTGGGAGAAAATGATATTTCATAGTGATATCCACACAACTCTTAAAGCATTATTTCAATATGTATTTGCCTATAGGTGACTTTGAAAGGCTAAAAAGCAAGATATATGACCTTTAAAACCAGGCTTATGATATATGTAGATTTGGAGATTCTTCAAAGGTCTGTCTAGAATCTAGATGTAAAAAGGAAAGGACTGAGGAGCTTTTTAATATGAAAAGGATGCAAAAAAAAAAAATCTCACTCCTTGGAAAAGTTTATGTATTTACAAATCCTTTAACAGGGGTTTTACAAACCCCCAGGGGGGTCCCTAGGTTTTTGTTTTTTTTTAACTATCTTGATGTCGTTCCAGAGGTATATAGCGGACCAAAGTACATAATAAAATAAGTAAATGTGAGTCAGCATGAAACTATAAAATACACAATTTTATGTATCATATCAAAATGACATTTAAAATTCTTAAATGTATATAAAATGAATTCAATTTTTCACTATACAGTAGGGTTGTCAAAAGTATCGATACTCAAAAAAGTATCGATACTAAAATGTTGTATCCGGATACAATACTCATTTTCAAAAGTATCGAGTACCAGTCGCCCCTAAACAATCATTCATGTAAAGTGCAGAATAGAGGAAAATGCACTTTCTGAACACTGTGTGGTTGAAAAATTCTGTGCACTTTTCAGTTTCAGACTTTTTTTTGTAACAGTTGCAGCTGCTGAGAATTATTTTTGCTTCTTAACCGGTTTGGCTAGTGTCATTATGTGTGCAAAGCATAGCCAAGTAAGTAAAAACTTAATTTTAATTTTGTAAATTTTTTATCAAGCTTGCTAAATACTGTGCACAGCAAACAACCTCAAAATGTTGTTCTTATTGTTTATTGTATTTATTTATTTATTGTATTTTAATTATTAATCAAAATATTTCTGTTGAAATTTTATCCTTGTGGTATCGAAAATGGTATCGAGTATCGAATATTTTCCTTAGTATCGGTATCGAGTTGAAAAGTTTAGTATCGTGACAACCCTACTATACAGTATTTAAATATGAAGTGAAATAAGATGGCAGACGCCAGTCTGTATTATATTTTGGGTCACAGGGTGAAATGTTTGGGAAGCCTAGCTCTGCAACTTTATGTAAGGCTTTTATCTTGAAGAGGTAACTTAAAAATATATATATAACTGGTTAAAATACAGTTGTAAGTTGGAACATATTCTTCCAATAAACAACTACATAAACCTTTACTTTATAAGTGTGAGGTTAGTTTTTTGAAAGGCTAAGCATTCAATTCATGTACCCGTTATTGGTGTACTGAGTGCTTTAGAGGTAAACTTTTATTTTGAAGAGTTCTATTTTTAAACTTCTGCTTTTAAAATATATAGGGTATTAAAAATTTAACTTCTGCTTTTAATATATATATAGGATATTAATAATCCTACTTTATATAATGAGTATTTTATTTTGTGAGTTAACCTCAAAACCTCTGTGGTTGCATGTGCATTATTTTTTAAAGTCCATTTTAAATCTTCCCTTGTCAGATAATCTAAAGTATGTGCTGCTCTCAGGTTGTCTCAATGATTCCCACCTATTCTATTTAAAAAAGATTACTATAGATGTTTCAAACTCAAAGATGCAGTTTCAATGTTGGCAGCAAAGCTTGGTAATTGTTTCTACAGTAAGATTCTGAGTAAAGTAACATGACCCTTTATGGGTAGAACTGACTGCTCTGAATGAGGCTGACAGAAAACAGTAACTCTTACCAGTAGAACTGAAACATTTTCTAAAAAAATTATTAGATAATTTCGGAAACATTTATCTTTAAGGGAGGTGAAGCTTACCGAGCCAAGGATTGCAAGATAATAAAAAAATTCTGGAAAGTCTTTGTTCAAATAAATCCACAAATTTGGGGGACATTAGTTTTTGTAAAAAGGAAATTCCTTTTTCTTTGTATTTTTTTGTTTTGGATTACTTATTCCAGGTCCCTCTTCCAATTACAGTTAAGAACTGTGTATACATTATACATAGATACATTGTACAGCACTTTAAACATCTATAGGACCAAAGTACTTTCTAAAGTTGATATGGGAATAATAAACAAATCCAAACATTTTAGGATTTTGATGACCTCATGGGATAATTTTATTATTATTTTTTATATCAGCCACCAAAAACAGAAATGTGTGCCCCTCAATATTGGACTGCCTATTTTTTCCAAGGCTTCATTTTTTTTTTCTTTTAAGCTGTGCTGTCTAACATTGCAGAAGACCTCTTGAAACCCCAACCAGGACGGTACTAAAATTGGGGCTGGTACCTTGTAATGGTAACAAAACTAAATCCCTATTAACAGATTGGAAAGGTTAATTAGAAAGCTGAAATGTGGATGGCTGCTAATGGTCTGGCTTACACCTATAAGATGAGCTTGGATCACATTTATTGGTCTCTTACCACACATTTCAGGGTATTCTGGGTGCACTTTCCTTGTAAATTACATTGCTATGGTACTTTAAAACGAAATTCACCAGAGGTGGACATGTCACCATGTTTATAACACACCGACTCCTAATTTAGAATGAAAAGTCATAAAAATGCAATAAATGCCATAAGAGGTGATTATTAGTTTATTGATGCTGCATGTACCAAGATTAGATTCACTGAGTTTAGAAAACATTGTTTTCTTTTGGTCTAACATTTAATATTTCAAACAAACTTGGGGTTAGATTTAAGAATTAAGAAAGCACTTCGGTTTCAAGGTGAATATTCTTCGTTTAGCCCTGCATTCACATGTGAAACGGCAATCGATGAACAGGTCCTCATCACTTTACAGGGCATCATGGTACCAAACAGAGTCAGGCACCCAGCAGCAGCATTCACCTGGTCCCTACTAGGTAATAATCTCAGTTCTTTCCTTTCAGCCATAAAGAGAAAAATAGCTTGGATATTCTACTTAGTAGAAAAATTTAAGATAGTAAAAAATAAAAAAAGGAATTTAAGTAAAAATGCAGTTTACAGGCACATGTATTAAGCATATTTATACATTTAAAACCTTGCTGCCCTTTGATGCTTAAGAGACTAATAGTGCTTTTATCTGAACTGTACAATAAGTGTTCCAGCCAAAACCTGAACATACTCAGACATAGCATTTCAACACGTACACACATGTATATATATATATAAAAAAAGCCACATACATTTGCCTTTCATCAGTCAATTTGTGCATGATTTGCAAAAACTACATTATAATAGAAAATGAATCTCATTAATTATAGTGTCAATCTTAAGTGGTAAAAATGTTAGAATCTCTTTTTTTTTTCTTGGTCTTTTACCAAACATAAAAAAAAAAAAGTTAATGCATGTGATAAAAGGAATATTAAGAATATCAACAACCGCCTCTGGTCCTTTAAGAGTCTGAGAAGACCTAGAATCAACTCAATTTATCCTGTAGTCACAGAAGGATGGTTGTCAGTCAGAGACAAATAATCAAAGTTAAACCTAAATCAAGGGGACATTTAGAGACTCTAGTTCATTCATTTTGTGTCTCTGGATTGTGGAGGAAAAAAAATAAGCCATAGGAACAGCTGCACAGGTAAAAAATTGCCAAACATAATAACAAAAGTTAAACACAGGAAGTCCCAGCTGGCCAAACTAGCAGTGTTATCCACTGTGGTTTTCTTGAAGAAACATCATGGAATTAAGAAGAACAAATGTCTTTTTGAAGTTCTGAACAGGATTAAAAGTCAAGGGAAGGCTTCAATCAGGGGAAACGGCTCCGATCAGCAGATAGAGTCACCCTGGACTGGTAGTCTCCCACTGCGTCGACCCTCCTTCTCTCTTTTCTCTCGCTGTTTTTCCAGCTTCTCCTGGGCCTTCCGCATTTCCTTCAGCTTCTTTTTGATAGTAGAGCGGTCACTTTGACTGGACACACCAAGTGCCTTAAGGGACAAAGCAGAATTTTATTACAACACAGAGACAAACTGCACACATTCAACTACCTTCATGAAGCTATAACAGGGCTCATTCTGTGTTTTTGTCAGCAAATTTCCTGCTTTTGCAATAAGCCAGAAAAGTCAAAGATGCTAAAAGCTATTAAATCAGTGTGTTGCAAATATATAGCCACAAGGGGGCAGCATCTAAATTTGAAGAAACATCTCTTTACTACTTCTAAAAAAGTTAAAAAACAAAAAACTCTTACTTGGATTTATTTTAAAATTTTCTTTTACCTTCAGTTTGTCACTGTCTAAGTGCAGAAGCTGCTGGCCATCGATTCCCTTTGCAGTGAATTCAGGTGTGTACTGGTCCATATTCATGCCCATTAACCAGTGACAGACCTGCTGATGGGTCCACTCAGAGATGGGCCGGTTCTGCCACTGATATTCTTTTCCAACAGGGATTGGTTCATCATCCAAGGTCTGTATTTAAAAAAAAATTAAAAAAAAGAAGGTGGAAGTTAAAATTGCATAAATGCTCCTTTTGATCCATCGTTTAGGATTTAAATTGGAAAAAAAAAGAAAATTTTTATATATATATATATATACATATATATATATCTTAAAGTTGGGCACCTGGTATCTGTCAGCACTACTTCTATTTTTGTTAGCTTTCTACAACAGGATGTTTTCTTTATATAAAAAGAAATAATAGAATTGTTGTAAGATATACACTTTCAGTCAGTCTGCAGGCAGTAATTATAGATGCCAAGATCAAAATATTTGGGGGCTTTAATGACATCTTAGAATCTCTGTTTTCCCAAGCTTGGAATATTTATACAACAAACAACAACAATTGGGTTTAAAAACAAGAACTAGGTGCCAACGTTTAATTATAGATTTTCTCTAATCCAAACGGTGTCCAAATTATACCAGCAGGCTTAATTATATGTTTTGATGTGTTTTGGGTCGTTGTGCTGTCAGAAAGAAAATACATCTATGTTTACCTTCCAACCACAAGTTGGTCATCAGATGAAAAAAAAAGCCAAGAGTCAAACACTCAATGAATCATAAATTGTGTTAAAAAGTGTTGACCAAGAAAAAAAAAAAGCCTTTCTACAGAACCAACCTTTAAATTTGAAACCAGTTAATGTTTTGCCTAAAACAACATTTGGAGGTGATGTTTTTAGACATAACAGGCCTCCATGGTGATGGCAGCATCATGCTGTGGGGTTGTTTGGCTGCCAGTGATGTGTTTATATTACACAAAGCAGGGGGCTAATGAAAAGAGAACATTACTTTTAAGTTATTCCTTTAATTCAGCAGCGTGAAGGTTCAAATTTCGACCAGACAGTTCGTTCCAACAGGACTGAATAGCAACCTGTTTAAAGGATTTCCTTTTCTGATGAGGGCTTAGATATCAAGCCAAACTTACTCCAGTTTGTGGTAGGTTTGATAAAAAAATGTGTTTCTCTGTAACTGACGTAAATCTATCCAAAATAAGAAGGGATTTGTGTACAGAATATTTTTGAGCATATATGGATGAGTTACAACAGTGAAACAAATTATTACTGGAGCACCAATTCCTGATTTTAAAACTAATGGAAGTTGTATAATAAAATCCCCCTAAAAATAAACATTCAATGGTTGAAGACGAGTCTCAGTAAATTTCTGACTGAAAGTGTACAACTGTTTACATTCCCTCCAAAGTGCTTTTAAGTACCAACAAAGTACTGATGGTTTGTTTGAAAACTACAAATTTTTCAACATGACTGTAAATATGTTGAAAAGGTAGAATAAATTATTTACCTTTAGAGTGAAGGAACATAAAAGCTGCAAAGCAAATACTAATTCACTTCAATCCATTTTTAAAAAGTAACCTACAGCATTGAGAAGCTGATAAACATTCCCCAAGCGAGAACAAAAACGAAAACCCAGCGTGCATATAAAGGAAAACATCCCAAAACTGTAGTGCATGTCGATGTTTTCACACTGAGCCGCAGAGACAAACAAACATGAGGAAAGCTGAAACATCACTAAACAGGAAGAAGAGATTCCAGCTGCACTAAAGCAGAAGTTTGCACTATCAAAATCATGGCTAACTTAATGAAAAGCTAAGCCACGCGACTTGCTGCGATACAAAACAAACCGGCTTTAACAGACAGACATGCCGCGCTCACATAGCCTCTGTCCATTCTTGTTTTAATGTGTGCTTTGAAAGGGGGCGAGGCTCAAAGGGCATGCTTGAGAATGTCCCCTTTCAGGTGCATCAAGGCGTCCCCACACAGCTTTTGTGACTGCACAACAAGGAGAGCACTCACCTCGCTGGAAGAGAAGATTAAAGTGTGTGAGCGCCCAGACAGATTGGGTTCAGCGACTAACCCAGAGATGTCTGAACTGGCGCTGGCAGGGCTAGAATCATCTATGACTGAAAAACTCTGGAACAATGGGAAAGAAGGAACGCATTTACTAAGGTAACATCAAACACCAGCTTCTGTTCACTACCACAGGCAGACAAACAACAGGATGACAGCTGACGGCAGTGATGTATGCCACAAAAACACGTTGATGTATGATTAAGAGTAATTACAGTGGTGGCAGTGCATACTGATTATCTAGCATAGACATGACTGTGACCTTAAACTGTGAGCGGAAGGAAGATCAGAGTCTATGGTGCACAATTAAAAACTAAATCCACCACCAAAGCTAGATGATGATCCTGTAAACTAGAGGAAGGCTAGTGCTAATGAGAGCCCGCCAAAAATAAACCAGATTCAGGTATGGGGTAATGTTTTGTTTTTTTCTAAAGATAGCTAAACCACAAAGATTTCATTTTCTAAAAAGGTTGTAAGTATAGCCTGTTGCACAGCGTCTTGCAGAAGTATTCACACCTCTTGGACTTTTTTTCCTAAATTTTGTTCTGTTGCAACCGCAAACCTTTTTGTTTAAATAAATATCTAAAAAGAGCATTATACATTTCTATTTATTCTTCCTGAATCAGTTCTTTGTAGAAACAGTTTTATAATTGGTGCAAGTTTACCCTCTTCTTTGCCAAAGATATCAAGTTTTTAATCTATTTGGAAAATTTTAAACATTTAAATGTGATGATCGATATTGTCTTACAATAGAGTCTAAATAGATTTAGAATTGGACTTTGACCAGGCCATTTTTACACATGAATTTACTATAATCAACATTTTTTTTTTGTTGGTTAGATGTTAGGGGTCCAGGTCCTGTAGGGGGGTTAACGTCCACACCAGGATTGCCCTGAATTTCACTCGAGCCATCCTCACATAAACTCCTGCAAGTTAAACTGCAGTATTACCACAGCAAAAAGCTGCCACAACTATCTTTCACTTTCACACAGATGGTGTTTAATTGGAAGTTTTTTTTTATTATTGTAGCCCAAAAAGCTCGTTTATCAAACTGTTAACAAATAAAAATAACTGTTTTTTTTTTTTTTTGAGAGGCACATAACTGACTATTTAAGGTATCTTCTGAAGGCAGCTGCTGTAGATCTATTTAGGAGCATCAAATTGCAGGCAGTCTAAATCAATTCGAGGTTTTTAAATAAGTTAAACATTCTGCTTGAAAACAGTCACTATTTTGTGTTGCTCTACAAAAATATTAATAATCAAAGTTTGTGGTTTAAATATAAAAAATGTAAAGGGGTGTGAATATTTTGCAAGGTTCTACAAGTCTTTTCCTGAGATGGTCAGATTGTTTAGTTCAAACAAAGAGAAACAACAACCAGACATGCAGGTTTTCTACACGGCCAATTTATTTCTTACAAGTAATTCATTCAAAGAATTAAAAAATCTAAAGCCTGCATATGTGTTCTAATATTCACACATGAATCCCTAATAGCATTTTCCAATTAAGCATTTTAGGTCTATAAAAGTATTGCTGGGCTGTTTGTTCTTCAGAAAGTCTGAAGTCTTTCTTAAAATGACTGTAATAAACAGGGAAAAAAGGGTTTAATTAGGTGTTAAAACTTTACCACATACCCACTACAAAACCAGTAGTGAATTACTCCAGGAATACGTTCTATATGAGAAGTTAATCAAGGATCGAGCTTGTTAGTGAAACACTACTGAGTGATTTTGAGTCAAAGCAGTGATTTAAAAAAACGTGTATACTGTACCAAATCTAACGAGCGACTGAATAAAGAGGACCAGGAGAGATTTGTCTGTTTAAAGGAAACAAGGTCAAAGAAGACTCATCAGAAAGTAAGGTGGTAAAATAAAATAAAGAACCACAGAATCAGAAGTCATTTCACAGATATATACTCTTATAGCTTCAGTTCCAGTCTTGAACTTTTTAAAAGACAATTGTTTGAACAGCAGTTGGCCAAAGCCTGCATGATGGGCAGGCGTTCCACTCAGTAGATATGCAACATCACTGCAAAATAAGCTTGATGCTGTGAGGACTTTTCACCTAGTGACCTTTTAAAAAAGGCAAAGCATCTAATTAATAAATAAACAAGATCTTCCAAGGAAAGATTATGCCGAACACTGACGAGGAACTGTGCAGAAAAGCACCACCGGACCCAACCAGAACAGTTTAAGGGTTGGAGTGTAAGGAAACAGGACGTAATCCTGGCAAAATGTTGGGATAGTTATGCTGACAATATTTAAACATAAAAATACAGATGGATAGATAGATTTAATTATTTTCTTTAACATAAAGAAACACTGAAACACACATCTAAATACACGTGCAATAGTTATACCTTATGTCTACGGTCCTGGCTTTGCTCACTGCTGGTTTCATTTGTAGTATATGGCAGGCTGCTAGTGGATGAGGACGGCTCTCTGTCCCTGTCTTTGTCTCCAAACCAGGAGAACGGCATACAGGTGGGGACAGAGGTCATCGACTCTGCAGGAGAAAGGTTCCCTCCGGATTCCTCTAGTAACTCTGCAGACCCCCTGGTCATCAGATTAGTAGTGAGAGGTCATTAAAAACAAGAGTTGTGTAAATCTGGAATCAAGGACATAAGCTAAAAATATTTCTCTGCATCAAATTTCTCTTTATTTCAGTTATTTCAGCAAAAAGCTGAAAGAAATTCCCCTCATGTTTGTGGCAAGGTCATCATCTTTTCAGTAATTTGATCCAACGGGATAATGGAGAATTATACAAATGCACAGATTAAAAGTATTTAGTTTAGTTGACTTAAAAGATTTTGACTCCAAACGAATGGAAATAATTTTCAAGTTTTCAGAAAATGTAAGTATGCTATAATCATGCATCAATATGGTGATGGCATGAAGGGCTGTCCGAATGTGACCCTGCTGGGATATGGATAAAGCTTAGCTTGCTTTAAATGTTACCTTTAGATCATCTTCCTCCGTGGTTTAGCCACAAATTATGTCACTTAGCCCCCACAAGTGAGCTTTGTGATTAACATGGTTATAAACCAAGTATTGGTTACATTTTGGACAGATGGAAAATTAACTCAGCTTGTCGGCTTTGGGCTTGATTAAACACAATGAGCAAACATCAGATGATACAGCTTCCCAGTTAACTGACGGTGGAGGCTTTAGTGCCTATCCATGTGTACTGGCTTAGTAATATATAAGTTTCACTTTTTTAACTTGATAGCTAAAAGACATAAAATGTTCATGTTTCAATTTATTCACAACTAAAGAACTGGTATGTTCAGTTTAAATTAGAAAACATTAGAATGTTAAGAAACTATCTAAGAAGTCCAATAAGTACCTGCTCTCCAGAGAAGCTCTCATGGCCTCTTTGTCTTTTTTCCCTTTGCCACCAGACTTGCGAAGGCCTCTGCTTGGATCAGATAATCATTTAAAACCAAATATGGGATCTTTGCTACACATGATTAGTTGATAACTAGAATACTTGCCCAAAATCTGGAAACCGTCTCTTATGTTTTGAAGTAGAAGGCTCGCTGAGCTCCTCTGTAACGAAGCAGAGATCAACAGCCTCAGCAAGAAGAAAAACTCCTTTGCTATTGCAGACGTTAGATTTGCTTCTGCTGTACCTTTGAGTTCCTTCCCTTTGCCTTTGGATTCCCTCTTCTTAGCGTTTCGCATAAAACCAGAGGGAGATTGTGGTGAGGAGGTGTGTTTTGGGGAAGACAACGGACTACCACTGCTTTCAATACTATCCCCCAGCGATGGTGACAGAGATGGACTACTGGACAGCTCCGCTTTGCTCTTGGAAGCATCTCTGGTCTCGCCTTGAATGTCTTTCTGTCCGTTTCCAGGATAGCAGACGTTGACAGGGAGGGCCAGACTCTCCTGCACTGACCGCCGCCTCCCAGCAGATTCCTGCTCCTCCTGCTCGTCCTCTTCTTCAGTTTCCTGTAGGGACCGAGCTAATTATTAACAAGGACAATACAAGGAAGAGAGAATAAAAGCTATTTATGTAGCATAAAGCTCTGGTCAGCAGTGTTTGGATTATGTCACAATGCTGAAGGTTTCATCTACATTCATCTAGGGAGTTCTACCATTATAGAACCTTCTGGTATATTCATATTACAAAAAAAAAATCGTAACAGCTGATCAACTCAGCAAATCAGGATTTGTGCTGTAACTACTTCAGCACAAAGTCACACCTTTACTGCGAGCGTGCTACTCACACTCTCTCTAGATGGGCGGCCTATTATTTGAGCACTTTGGCTTTGATTTGGGGAAACATTGAATAAATTAAGTTTCTCACCTGAGAATGGCGAGATGGACTGGCTAAGGTTTCTTTCAATTTGGACCGAGACGGAGCCTGACGCCTGCTCATCTGAGCCAGCCGGCATTTTGCCCGCTGAGCACTGGTGTCCAGGAGCCTGGTTTCAGGGACCAGTTCAGTCCAGTCTTGATCTAAAACAGAAAATAAACACAGTGCAATTAAAGATGGATTTGCCTCTTTACAGATTTCTTCTGTTTGTGTGTTTAATCTAAATGATTCAGATCAAACTAACTTTATCATTAAACAGAAATAACCAGATTAAATAAAATAAATCTTATTTAAAAATCTATCAACAACCTAATAGCTCTAGTTTCATCATGTCATCAGTACACATGATATTTAACATAGTTCAACTTTGTGTGTAATCACATTACAGCAATAATCAATATTTTTTTTTTATAATGATTTTAGTACATCTTTACTCGAGGTCACGATTATTGAGCAGGAAGCTGAGCCCTCTAAGGTACAGGGTAGAACAGATAATTAAAACTTCATTGAGGTTTCAGGTCAGTTGAATTAATCGGTGTTCAAACAGTTTAGAAAGCAGGTCAGAAAATTTATCCAAATGTTTTTTAGGGTGTTTCTGTGTCCAATACTGGAATCTTTCCATCTTTAATAAAAGAAACTCTCTTGAATGCATTAGCTAATGAAGAGTATTTTTTTTCTGAGTTAAGCTGATTAAATGACAGATATACATTTTCAAAATGGACAAAAGAAACATGTGTAGCTAAAAAAAATTATATATATTCTCTTAGCTGTTGTAGGGATATTAAGAGGTCACAAAACGAATAGAAAAAATATTTGTTTAAGTTTAGCTTTTATTTAACCAGTAAAAACCCAAGTGAAGCCCCTGTCACACCTTCACAATTTAGCCAGGGTATGCTTGACGTCCCAAAATCTTCTAAAACGCTGGCATACGATGAACTTTCTATGTATTTTTTCAATTTTGGGCGTATAATTAGAGTATTCATAACAAGTCCAAAACTTATGTCAAACGACAGCCTAACTTATGCATAACGGACGGCAGCGTAATGCTCATAAAATGTCCAAGCCAGTGTCCTGACGCGGGCAGCAATGCAAAGATTTCTTTCATCGCAGTATTAACCTAGCTGCTGTTTACTGCCTGCCAAAAAAGAAAAAGAGAAAGAAAAAGAACGAAAAAGAAAGAAGAGAGAAAGAGAGAGAGAGAGGGTTTGCAGTCACAGCAGATTCAGCGTCATGTCTGCTAGTAAGTTTATTGGCAGTGGGCTTCCTTGAACGCAGGGAGGATCCATCGCACTCACCTTCGCATACGTTATGCACAAGTTACTGATAGGTTTTGGATAAGCTAGACACCATAACTTATGAGTGACTAACACTTAACGCATATCAACAATCAGATAACTTACCTGTAACCTATGGCCCACGTATGAGCATATGCTGGCATACTTCTCGATGTACTTGCCCTATGTCGACGGTTCCAGCGTGTTTCAGCGTACTTCAGCGCGCTCATAACTTATACAAAACGTACCAATAAATTATCCAATGTATGCCAGCGTTTTTGCTAGATTTTCCGTATGTCAGGCATACGCGGGTCTAAATCGTTAAGGTGTTACAGGGGCTTGGGTTTTTTGTTTTGTTTGTTTTCATGGCACTAGTGGTTCGTTTTTTCGACAGTAGGCTGACAGGAAAGGGGGTATGAGACAGAGGGAGAGACATGTAGGAAAGGACCACAGGCCAGATTCGAATCCTGGTCGCCCGTGTCGAGGACTAAGGCCTCCGTACATGTGTCTTGCACACTAACCACTGCGCCGCCTGCACGCCCCGTTGAGATTTTTTTTTTATTTGACGAGTGCCTTAAAAAATAAACATTCAAAAACCCTGTTGGATATGCTCGTATTGCTGAAACTCTCTGCTTCCCATAAGAGGTTCCTGCAGCTGAAGGATATCTAATAAACGTCAACAGAAGCTAATCTGTTGTATGTAATGTTAAGTAATAAAATCTATGAATAACTTTCTGTTTGAACCAGATATACTTTTGCTACAAGCATAACATTTGAAGAAAGAAAAAAAATATTACATTAAGGGATCACTAACTATCACAGCTATTAAGATTTAACCGTCCCTCTATTCCTCATTAAAAACAAGCACTGAATCAGCTTTGAGTTCAGCCAAGCCTCTCTACTGTACCACAAAGAGTTTGCTCAAACTGCCTTAAAACTACAGTAAAGCACTGACCCTACTAAGTCTGAGCATGATGAGTAAAGTGTTATAGTATAGTGTTATATATCTACTTTAAAGAAGAGACCTATCTGTAGCCTACAAATGGCATACAAGTGTTATGGGGCTGGGGTTTGTCAATAGTCTAAGTTTCTGTGTGAAGTCAACATTGAAATCTGTGAAGCTGCAAAAAGCAATTTACATGTTTTTGTTTACAATGCGAATTGCCCAAACAACAGACAGCTGTTATCCCAGGTGCTCACATGCAGTAAGCCAAGGCCCAACAACATCGACCTACAGCTAAGCCCACAGTTGTTCAAACCCTTAGCAAATCTATGTTTAAAAGAATCAACTCGCTTCAGTATGAACATTTTCTAGAGGCTCAGTCTACATCCTGAGTTGAATCTCATAAAGGATATGTGGTGGGAGCTAAAGCTCAGCATAATGACAAGGTGGTCTTTCAACTTCAGTTTCATACATTATCTGTATACTAGTGGAAAAATGCAAAATGCTGGCGGCAAAACATGCACAATTTTTCAAACTATTATTACAAAGTTAAACAATTTTTAAAATGCAAAAATAAAATTAAACCCTTTTTTTTTTTTTCATCTTTTCAGCGATGTTATCTTTTGAAGCATTAAGCTGATTAAAACTGCATTAGCATCAGTCAGTCAATGAATAATTCTGGGCTCAGCTGTACTGGTAAAAGGACAGACATGCTGAACCTCATAAACCATAGCCAACAAAGTAAACAATAAAGCCTACTTATCTAGGTAAAACCTGCTTTTATAACACTTAATGATTTAATGGACATAAAGGTGATTAGTATCACTTTCATCAGGGCTCAAAGCTACCAAAGGATGGGAAAAATGCATCTTAAAGCTTAAACCTGTTAATAATGCTCCTTTTCCACATGCTCTAAACTGACTGCTTATTTTCTTTGGGTTTGTCATAGATGGTTTGAATGTGGAATCTGTGTTACATTGATATTTTTTAAGTTAACTGCTTGTGTCGAAGGCCTTTATGTGTACATAAAAACGCATTGATTTATGTTTCTAATATTAGTGCGGCACCGTACCTAACAGTGAATCATTAGATTGTGAGTTAGAAACCGAGTCCTGTCTGCCAAGTCTCTCTTCAGCAGCAGAGTCCAGACCACTATGGCATTCCACAGCTGAAGCACCTCTGGACTCCAGGGCAGCAATCTGTGGACAAAGCCGTAGCCATGCTTATTTTAGTGACTACAGCAGGTTAATAGGAGCAAAAACATTTACTCTCTGACCTGGACTCTTACCCTGTTCTGTAAGCTCCCCAGCTGCTCCTTGTACCACTTGTCTTTTTCATCTAGGATCTTTTTCAGTTCTTCCTCTTTCTTCACAAAATCTATTTCCCTGTTGATGATATAGAAAGTGTAGTTCCCTGAACACATTTACTTGATAAACAAATAGAGGTTTTATTTGACTGTAAAACGACTGAAACAACACCTTTTTTTTTTTCTTTAAATAAAAGCAAAGCTAACCTCAGATGTCAGCTGAAAAATAAGTTAAACTCACTTCTGCTGGTAGTCTTTGAGAAGTTTTTTGGCCTTGTTGTACTTCTTGTCCAGGGCCTCATACTGAGCCTGATTCTCAGCTAATTGCTCATTCACACTCTTGCACACAGCCTGGGCTTCCAGCCAGTAATTCTCCAGCTTTAAGATTTTTTCATTGCTCTCCTCAATTTTTTGCTCCAGTGCAGATTCCCTTTCTTCCCACAAAGATTTGTCCTCCTCCGATTTCCTTAACTGCAATGAGAACACAGCGTTATACAACAGGTTTAAGAAGCTCATGTGTCATTGCTGGTAGACCTGTGCTTGCCAGCCAGACTGGTCGTTTCATCTCATAATAAGTGCTAATGAAGAGGAATCTCTTAGGTCATGATCGCATCAATTATTTATGAAGAAATAAAGCATAAAAAAGCACTCCTATCCACTGAGGATCATTAATGACTAGAATGAAAACATGCAGCACCTTGTCAAAGTATTTACTGCACTTGATTCTGTTCAGATTTTGTTACAATACAGTAAAATACTCCTCAGCATTCTATTGGAAATTGTTGTGAGAGACCAACTAAAAGTTGTGGACAGAAATCAAGCAGAAAATAAATGTAAGACACTTAAAACAGCATGCATAGCATCCATGTCTAAACTAATAACCTAACATGTAAGGAAAGGAGTGTTTAGGTAGGCAGACAATAGGTGCAAGGTAACTCTGGAAGAGCTGCAGAGACCCATGACTTGGGTGAAAGAATTGGTTAACTGGAACAATATTACGTTTATTCTACAAATCTGCCATTTATGTAGTGACAAAAAAAAACAGTCATAAAAAGACTTGTGTGTATTTTTGCTTGGGCCATGGAGAGTCAGAAGAGACCAAAATTAAACTCTTTAACTCAAGTGCAATCTAGCTTCTGGTTAGCATTTTGTTTCAGATTTTTGGCTCTGCCAGCCCTTATTTAACATTAGATAGGGAATGTGTTGAAGAGAGATTGGGGAGACATGAAGCAAAGTATTTGAACCAAGCACAGCTGCATCGGAGATCAGGTCCTCTATAGATGGGTCACATGTTCTAACCCCAAAAGCTGCCACCACCATGCTCCTAACCATCATTTGATGTAGGAACTTATTGTTACATATATATCCCTGAACACACTTTCCCCACAATGGAACATGATGGGGGGCTGCATCACGCTATAAGGATTCTTTACTTCATCAATGATGGGGAAACGAGACAGAGATGATTGGAAGATTTGTTTAATTGAAGGCAAAAGGACAGAGTTTACCTTCCAGGAGGACTATAAACATAAAGAGAGCATTAGAGCTACAGTAAAAGGGTTCCAAAAACATCTAATGTGTTAGAAAACCCCAGCCAAGGTCTAATATTAAATTGAACACAAGTGAGGCTGGGACTGATGTTGACAGAATGTTGTCACAGAATGTCGTTGACTGAAATATTTGTAAAGCAGAATTGACTAAAAGTTCCATTCAGCAAAATGTGGTTTTGACTTTTGAAACATGCATGCCATGCTTTTCAGATTTTTAGTGACATAGAAAACAACTCATTATACTTCCTCTTCACAATCTCAACTCTTTGAAATTTGTGTTCAACAAAGATAGATAGATGATAGATAGATAGATGGATGATAGATAGATAGATGATAGATAGATAGATGATAGATAGATAGATGATAGATAGATAGATGATAGATAGATAGATGATAGATAGATAGATGATAGATCGATAGATAGATAGATAGATAGATAGATAGATATTACTCCTACCTTTTCCGTTAGTTGATTTATTTCAGCCACAGCAATGCTGTGCTTCAGTTGCAGCTATGGAAAGTTAGAAACATTTGACATATCGTTACCCTAATATACCAGATACTTTATCGTAAACAGATGTCCAACAATAGAGAAATTATTTTCTGTACCTCTTTGAATTTGAAAGCCATCTGAGAGCTGTTCATTTCCCCTGGCATGAACAACGACTCAGAATCAGGCAGCTCGAACACCTCTACATTTCTTCCTGGAGAGAAATTGGACCCAAGAATTCGTTCTTCTATCGTGTCATCGTCTTCATACCTCTCCTCCTAAAAGATATACTTACTGTGAGCTCAAACACACCTTAAAGGCCTATTACAGCTTGATAATTGATTAAGCCATACTCCTAGTTTTACCCTGGTTCTGAGGAAATATCTCAATCAGTATGTCTACAGCAAACAACACTGGGTTGGTCCACAGGTGTCACCTCAGGGGCTTGGCTTGGTATGTTTATGGCAATAAAAGCAAACACACTCTGTAGATAACAAGACTATGGCCACAGACTTTGCATGGCCACAAAAACTGATACTTGTTTTCTTTGTCTGCCATAATAAATTCTATTAAATCCTTGCATTGTTTCAATGTTGCAAAATTAGATGTCTACAAAGGCTTGATGGACAGAACAACATTTCACGACTCTGATGGACAGACAGCAACTGACTGAACCTTGTCCTACAGCAGAACTGTGACACATGGCTTACTCATAGGCAGCTGCTAATTTCCTGCAAGATCCCAGTGGCATTGGTCTGGGAGTGGTACAGAGGCTAATACTGCACAAATGCTTTGACTGCATTATCGTAATTACAGGATTTACTCTTGTAAACATTTTTGTAAACAGCATTAGGCAAAGTAATGAGCAATCTTTCTAAGGGTCCCTATGACGCAGACTTACCTCCTCTGTAGAGTGGTCATAAGGATCATCCAGGTCTTGTTGCTGCTGGTTCTTCTCCTGTTCAAGTGTTTCACTGATGAGGCGGGCCACCTCGCTCTGAGTTCCTGGCTTCTCTCGACCAATCAGAAACCTGTTTTGTTTTTTTACAGAGAAGAATTCTTTACAATGTAGCATTATACATGTTGCTTTGAATACCCACACTGCATTGCTTGTTGTATCCCTCAAGCTAAGATATGCAAACTAGAAATGTGTTTTTGAACAGACTTTGTAATGTGTAGGTGGTAAAATTTGCCTATAAATAATTTTCATAGTATTTTGAACAGGATGTAGGACTTTGAAGAAAAAGCAAATTTTGAAAACAACAGATCCTCTTTCCCTTCCCTAAAATACTTTAAAAGAAAAATTATTTCGCCATTATCATTTCATAGTGACATAAGAAAAGGACGAGGTTGCTGCCAGCAGGATAGTTAGATTTAGGTTGTTGTAGGGGGGGCAGTTGAACTTACCTCACTGTGCCTTTAGTGTTCTTTAGGACAGTTGCAGCAAACAGCTGGGTCACTCCTACCAGACTGGTACCATCAACTTCCACTATCTGGTCATTCATCTGTATCCTACAGGGAAAGAAAGTAAAACCTGTGAGATGTGAAGAATGTTATAATGGGTGCTAAATTCAGGTGATAGAAAAATGAGGACAGGAGTCTAACATCTCATTAATGTAGGAGGGGGGTGAAGCAGTATACTTGGACCATTTATTTACCGTCCATCTTTCTCAGCTGCTCCGTTCTCTGTTATAGTTTTTACAAAAATTCCAAGTTTTTCCAAACCCTGATCTGCTCCCACTCCCATTCCTATGATACTGATGCCAAGCCCATTATCCCCTGGAAGAGAAAAAAGATAGTTTAGAAGAATGGATGATAATAGAGAATGCCTCCCAAAAGTTTTGTACAAAATGCATTATATTCAAAAACTGCAAACATCTGAGTTATAACTGAACTGATCTGAAGTTGTAACATTAAGGTGCCAAATCCTGCATAAACAATCACATTATGAGGAAATACAATTTGTCCATTTTCAGCCTTGTGGTTTATTTGTGTTGTGGGATAGAATTTGACTTTCAACAGATAATAGGAAGGTTGAACAAAACATTTATTCTGTTCTTTCAACTCTTAGTATGAAAAATGCAAGATTTAGAGATCTTGGGAGCCTGTATGATCTGGTTGAACTGTAAAGTGCCTTGAGATGACATGTGTTGTGAATTTGGCGCTATATAAATAAACTGAATTGAATTGAACTAACAATACTCTGAATTAAGGTGTATTGTTACAACCTGTAGAGAATAATGTCAACTATCATTTAGAAATACACTGATGGTTTTCTTCTTTAAAGCCAATGCTGATACCAATTATTTTGACATCCATCTAACCGATTATAAATATGTCCTGACAATATTTTTGGACTGATTCTTATAGCTGATATTGCTTTTCTTTCTCCATTTACATGATAACAATATAAGTACAGCAAATACTTTAAAAGTCTTTATTTTAAAAAAACAAAGAAATATTAGCAAAGGAAACATAACATTAACGGTAGCAAATGAAGGGGATTAGCACTGGATCTCAGGGCATATTTGCTAAATATAACACATACATGCATTAACTGACAAAAAAAACCAAAAAAAACCCGACAAGAACAAATGATAGTATTGACAAAAAATATCGGTCTACAAGTGGAACGAACAGATATGATAAGAAATACATTTATTGCCCTACAGTGGAGAAATAATAATAGTAATGCAAGACGCTAAGAATAGTTTAAAATATCCAATTAATAATTTGCTGGTCTCAGTTTCTAAGCAATTATAAATCAATGTTGTACATTTTCCTATGCTGTAAAAAATGTTTGGCAAATAATAAAACAAGATTTTAAAGAAAAGGGAATTTACACATCTTGACATTAGTGGGCCAAAACTTTAAGACTAGAAATATTTTATACAATTCTAGTAGGAGTGCCAGTAAAATATAAATTCATTATTTTGCTGACACACTCCTCATAAATCCACTTGCTCAATACCCTAAAGGTTCTTTTGGACTCACCCTTCTCAATCTCCACAGGAAACACGTCCATCCTCTCCACTCTCTTTTCCAGCTCGTACTCTGCAGATGCTGCGACTGGGTCCACATCATCATTGCTGCGATCATAATCCTCATTGGAGAAGGTACTAAAGACCTACGCAAGTCAGAATATTAAAATAACAGTTTAGTTCAGTTTTTGCACATATAATTTTCATTTAGGGGATACTGTCCTACTGGCTTTAAGTTAAAAAAGTATGGTGTAATTGCACTCATCTGAAACTTTCCATAAAACCATTTGGTACTCATCAGCCTGCTTTACTTGCAGCCTCAGTTTAATGGCAAATGTAATAACAATAAAACATGAAAAGAATTTCCTATTGATACGCTGTAGCGATTGCAGAATTAGCATGCGGGTTGCTTAAAATATTGGATGCATCTCAAGAAGACTTTTATGGTTGCAGCTACAAAGAACAGACATGCAGTAGTGGTGATGATCATGAGGCACTGTGGAAACTGGGGCACATCTGTGAAGAGCTAATCAAACAAAGATGGATATGTGCAGATGAAAATTGTTCCTCAGTGTGAAAAAAAAAAGGAACACGTGACAAAAATATATCTTGAAGCTAAATAATTGCACAACGTCTAAACTGTTGCTGCTTTCAGAGTATAAGACTTTTATTTACAGATTCTGCTCTCATCAGAGCCCTGGTCCTGCAGGATCACATTATTGCTTCATATGGGGAACGGTTCTTCAAAAGCTTGTTGGACTTTTGCAAATACCGTTTTAGGAACTTGGATGGCAAAGGGTCTTGCAAAGAAAACCGCTTCCCATTTAACATAAACATGTATGTCAGTGTTGATTTTTCAGAAACCTTCAGAAACTGGAGCTTAAAAATATCTTCTGCTGCGGCTTTGATCGTTTCTTTATACATCATGTTGATAGAGAGCAAAATAATTCTTCTCATCTTTTCCACATTTCAGACCACACTGAAAATACAAAAATTCTGGAAACAGCCGTCAAACAGCACAAAAACCCAAAGCGTATTTCAAAGTCCACAAAGCTTGTTTTACCCAGTTGTCCTGGAATAAACTAGAGCAACCATCACAGCCATCTGAAATAAAGTCCACATACAATCTCTGGGGGGGGGGGGATTGTCAAAAATAAATTATTTTAGGAAAGCAGTAGTCATTAAAATTGTCTTTATTTTCATTACTGATTTGTAATCACCTAAGTTATTTGCTGACGGGCAGGAACAGGTATAAAATGCATGTAGGCATGTAGGAATACATAACATCATCCAGTGGAAAAGCTCAAAAAGGCTTAAAGAAGAACCACAAACTCAGCTCAGCTTAGAACATGGTTTTCTACTAACATCAAATAGTGACACATTTCTGTGAAAGGCATAGTGGAGGATTTTTGCAAGTTTTTGAAAAGACCCGCCCTCTTCACAAAAAAAAAAAAAAAAGCACAAGCTCAATCCTGTACCCACTCCCGAGAGGGGAAGCCTATTAAAAGTTTGTCAGCGTAAAATAAATTACAGTTGAAGGCTTTGATGGTGAAGGATACAAAAAAAAAAAAAAAACATGAAAAAATCATGGCTCTGCTATGAACGAGACAAGAGTAAGTTAAACTTCGCACAAAGCTTATGTGATGATATGAGGAAAGCAGATTAGATTACAGCAGACTCCAAAAGCAGCAGATGCTCTATTAAAAAGATTAACCAAACGGAGGTTCTCCTTATTAGGATGAAAACGTGATGATTCAGTCACAGAAATTATGGGAACACTTACAGCATGTTTTGGTTCCAATGTTGGGATTGGAGGAGAATGACAACTCCAAGATATTATAGACATAAAGTTCTAAACAAAAGAGCATAATCTTTGAAATCTTCCAAGTGAACTTTAAAATTTAAATGATATGAAAGTAGAACAAAGACACATGAGTTTTGAGTAACATTTTAATTTAAACCTGTTCTGAAATTCACTTCTATTACATATCAGATATTGTGTTATTGTGTTTTTGTGCATAAAACGAGGCAGCTTTGAATGGAAAACAAAGATAATTATTTGATAAATGATGAGACAGAAATGTGGATCGTATTAGGGCTGCAACTAATGATCATCATAAAAATCGATTTATCTGTCAATAATTAATTTTTTAATTTAGCAAATAATAATCGGACTGCAAAAGGTAACTTACTAAAGAAGATTTTTTACAGAATTTAGAACACTTGAGAATGAAACTTGTTCACTAAATGAGTTGTGGATAGAGCCTACTGATGAACAAAAAAAAAGTTTTTATATCAAAATTTTTATATTTTTGGTATAATTATTGCTCTAAGATGGATGCCTTATTAGATAATGGCATGTTTAGAGTTTCTATACTCCAATAAGGCATCTTCAAAAAACATAAAAAAATAATGAGATATAATGAAAAAGTTCATTGTGGGAAACACTTCAACAGTGTTTGAGAAATTAATGAAAAAAAAAAAAAAAATCATCCTCCTTTTAGTCTCCCTGCGATGCAGCCTTTGGATGAGGTCCCAAAGCGGGGCAGGTGGAGAATTTCCAGAATTACTTACCAAGCTGGATGTTTTAATTGGCAAAGTTACTGTAACCATAAAGGGTAACTAACTAAAACACAACATGTGCATGCAGATTCTATGAGAACTTTAAAGGTATCACACTTATTTTACTCATAGTTGTTTTTTTTTTTACTGATTATTTTTTTAATGTTAACCTTTGTTCAAAAAAAGTTTGTGGAACTGCTTAAAACTCCTCTGCTTTTAAGGTGTAATCTAAAGCAAAGATTGGCCTTGCTTGGCTAATAAAGACTGAACTGTAGGGGATTAGAATACCGATCAGACCAGTGAAACCCAACAATAGCAATAGATTTTAGCAGCACCACTTTTCCCCCTAATCTTCTCTTGGTGCATCACGTCTGGTTTTCATGCTACCGAAAACCCCCAGGCCTTAAAAAAAAAAATACTTGTTCTTTGCTGAACTCTAGTCACACAATCAGATCCTTGTTGGTAAGTAAGACAGAAATCAATTTGTTCATTAGTGTCTTCTGTCACCAGACTAAACAGATTTTCTACCCCGACTTCAGAACAAGCCCAGTCCAAAGTCTGGATTAAACTGAAACCACCTATCCAATACGTAATATCATATCTAAAAGTGATTTGGATTTTCTCCAAAGCCCCTTTAACATTTAAACCTAAACCTTAAAACTAGTCTTCAATTTTATTTCGCAGACAATTACATCACGTTTAACGTTTAAGAACCTTAATAGCCTATGCCCACTCTATATATTTTAATGCATAGACAGATCCAGTCATGCCTACACCCAACATTAAACTCTTTCCATCTTACCACGCCATTTAATGCTACAGAATACCAGAGTTGGGAAATGAGTCGGCAGCTGTGAGGAAAAGCAAACCAGGGAAAACCTATCGCCAGTGCAAAAAAAAAAAGACAGGGTCTGCCCACTGGATCAGGGAGCCTGAAATGTAAACTGAACCACAAAAAGACAACAAATTAAACCATGCTGTGAGGGTGTGGGCTGGAGCAGTGGTCTGAACAAACACCAGGAAAAGAAGCAAAAGGTATATCTCTAGTACTTCCTCTTAGTACTTCCTGTACACATGAATCTAAAATGATAAACACTCTGCTGCTATGACAATAATTACATCACAAGGAAGTGGATTGTTTTAGGAAGGAGATATACAAATCAAAACAAAAGCAGTCTAAGGCTCTAAGCTTGACCAGAACAAAACTGAGTTTTTGAACAAAGACCAACTTTCCCTGCTGCACCTCAGCTGTATTTTTTCTTTTACAAACTAGTAGACAGTACTGGATGAAATGTCACACCATGTTAAGACAAACGGTCAGACCGAGGAGTCATTTACATTTAGCCAAGGGTGCTCTTATTTTTTTTGGCTTGTTACCGTTTCGTTAACTTTTGCAGTTTTAATTGTTCCAGGCTTTCTAAGCACAAAAGGAGTTGTCGTTTCTGAAATGTTCTGGACTGATCAATCAATCTGCAGATATTTTGTAAGTGCTTAAAAAAAAAAAGAAGTTTTAAAGTAATTTTCTAAAAAAAAAACAAAAAAAAAAAACATAGGCTTGTTTTTTCCCCGATTAAAAGTGCCTTTCTAAAATAATATATACGGCAATCTCGAAAATAGTTTTCATACTAAAGACTTAGAGTTTTTTTTTTTTTTTTTTTTGGTTTAATCAGGCGTATTAACAGGTTGATAATGAGAGTCAACTAGTAGAGATACAAAGTCTGAGGATGTTTAAAATCATTGAGATACAGGATCTCCAATAACAAATACATAGAGAGTGTATTTGCTAACATTTTCTACATATCACCAAACTGGGTCCTTGTTTTACTTATGCAATCCCTATTTTTTATAGATCATTGTACTATAAAGATTTGTACAACAAAAATCATCCTATGTTTTGTTTTAGCATTTCTAAAAAGGTGCTTAAGTCTTAGTTATACGGCTGTACATCCAAAAGAATCATGATGTATAATTTATTGGTATTAGGTCTAAAAATGCTGCTATATTTGTTCAGGCCACCATCACATCCGCAGTAAGGATGGAAAAAATATCAACATGAGATATGCTTTGGATTAGCTGGTTTAATTGTGATCCACTATGCAATGTAAATAACTTGAGACAGATGATCCATCAAATCACTATCACAATATCAATATGTGACAAGTCCCGATAATTAAGGATGGCTTAGATGTATCAGACAGAAAATAACAAAAAAATAGGATACAGGTTTTTCTCCGCCACCATGCATCTTCCTACAAAATATTATACCACTTGGATGGACTCTTAAACTGGAGCTAGGCCATTATGAGTATTCATCTCTTGGGGGGGGGGGGGGGGGAAAGGTTGAAAAATAAAACTACACTGATATCCTGAGGAATCAGTCATTTGTCTTTCTTCTTAAGAGTAGGTTTTGCAAAAAACAAGCCAGGGTAAGCTAAAAAAGGTTCATCTTTGAGGTATATTGCATTTAGGGGCAATTAGATGCATGTTATGGCATTCAAAAGAACAGTGAGACAGTGATAAATCTCTAAACTCAATGTGGTTTGGATAAGTTGCATCACCATTGAGCATAAACCGTAATGTGAGA